ATATATATATATATATATATATATATATATATATATATATAATAGGACCAATTACCGGTACAAAATGTAACTTTCTTTTTGCTAATTGGTGTTTTGACTATTCTCTGCTCAAAGCATTTGTCCTCAAAAGAGAGAGGTGATGGCAGAATAAATCACAAATTATATTAATATTTCCATGATGTGTTCTGACTGTGATTGCTTTGGAATCATGTTACATTGAGACCATCTCAGAACCAGAATGTATTTGAGGCAAATTACACTCTTAATAACTACATTCTTACAAAATTACACTAACTCTGAGACTTCACATCTCAAATTGCCAACAGGCAATTTATCTCTCTCTCTCTCTGGAGTTTATGTTGAAAGTATTTCAGATGTCATATATTGTGTTTTGCAGTTGCTGTGCCTCTTGTTACTTATGATTTAAATCCGTTAACCTTTTTAGATCCAAATTTATAGCAAACTGGATATAGGTAACAGCTGGAATTCGGTTACATTTAGGGCTGGAATTACTGAGTAAAAGAACAAATTGTCTGTGTCCCTAGTATCAACAAAGCTACAAATGCAGTTAGCTAGTTATTAGCACTTTTATAAATATTAGCCTCCAGTATTCATCAAAATAGCTAATTAAATAAGCATGTAATGGTAATTACATTAAATAGTATCATCTACAGCATGGGATCTAACACACAGAGCATTATAGCAAGACTTAACCAGAACTAGTAAACTGAAGCCAGGATCAACCTTCTCTGCAAGCTGGTTCCAGTGCATTTACAGTGCAGTCCTGCTCCATTCCACGTAAACAAATGAGACTTTGCTTTTTGTAAAATCAAAGAATACACCTTAGTTAATTTGTTTCTGTGATGACATTTTTTATGATCCACGTAATTCTTGCCTTGCTGCTGCATGTTCAAATATTCTTTTCTCCAAAATGTTTAGTTGTAATTAAGTTCATGCATGAAAGAAAGCAACGCCCTGGCTGTGTGCAGAAGAGTGGGTAGGACTTAAAATCCCACATCCCATGTGTGTAGACTCTAGTTCCAAAAATACAACACTGCAGTCCCCGTAAATATGGTTCTGCTGGCTGGATACTTGATCTATAGTAAATACTATCTATACTTTTATTAGCCCTTGATAACAAAGTACAAGCTACGCTTTCGATAACAAGGCTCCTGTTATCTCCCACACAAATGGTGGATGTTTTCAGAGTTACAGAGTAACATAAAAGTTTCTATACTTCATCTCAACCAAGTGGAAGATGGAAAGCCGTATTCAGCAAACTTGCCCAAATTATGGATGCATAAGCACACATCTAGCAGAGAAACAGTAGGAGGTGGTGTTTGGGTGAAAATGAAAGAGGCCTGAAGTCACAACACTCTTTTCTTTTGCTGTACTAGAAAAGTATCAAAATGTGATATCTGTGTGTTTTTGCACCCTTGTCAAGAGAAATACATTTAGAAATTTGATTCCATTTAATTTTCTTGAAACAGTTCATTATATCTGAGAAGGTAAAAACAGAAAAAACAACTGAGAATAATCAAGAAAAGAAGGCAGAAAATTTTAGTGACAAGAGTGTCAGAAGAGCAATTAAGTCGGAGCGGAAAAGATCCCATATTTTTTCCTTCTCGTCATCCTCTTGATCCTACCCAGTGGCTCATCTGTCTCTGGAGAGACACAAAAAGAAATAATAACCAATTATTCATGGCCACTTTATCCTTAGCCAGGGCCACTTCTCTTGTTTCGTCATTAGATTTCCAAAGACAACAATGAAGGCAGCTTCTCATTCATCAGCTCCAGCTTTTAGGTAAACAACAGACTGGGGCTAAACACAATGGCAGGAAGGAAGAATGGCACAATAATCAGCCGGTTCATACAAACTGTCCAAAACCTGATTTAACCAAGGGAGAAAGAAAAAAAAACATGGTGCTTTGGGTTAATTTACTACCTGCCATCAGTGTGATCAGAGGGATGCTCAGAGCTCCTCTCAAGTGGGCACTCTGCTGCAGTGACTTCCATCCAGCAGGAAGATTCATGTGTGCTCTTGATCCATCTCTCATATTTTCTCTCAAAGTGATACCTCCTCTACAGTGCACACCATAAATAACATACTTATATTTGCACACGTAGAAGCAAAGATGGGTCTTCATTCTGCTTGTTCATATTTATCCTGGCTTATGATACAATTGATCAATTTAAGTTAAGTGTCTGATTGTAATTTGTAGCATTTGAGTATATCTATATCAAAAAAACAGCTGTCCTGTTCTAAATATAATCAAACTGTTTGTCACTCTGCCTGATTTTCTCCAAGTGCCAAATAAATTAATTTGAAAAAACTCAAACATCAACATTGTTGCATATGAAATGTGACCTTATTATTCAGGGTGCTGTCCTTTATGGAGGAACTGTTTTCATTTCACTAAACTATGACTGCTTTCTTGGTCTATGTACTGCGTGATATTGTTTTAGTGAAGGTAGCTTTTGGTACGGTACTAAATCCAAAATAAATTTACAAAAGAAACAAGAAATGATTATGCTATGTAATGTTTTGTGTCACATCACATTGTATTGCGACTCCCAATGACCCAATTATTTCCTGAATTGTCTTGTTAAAATGGTAAATGGTCATTCAAATCTTGTTCTAATCTTAAAGACAAGGATTAATCTGCTCTGCATGGAAAAAGACACATTGTATCCAACATTTCATGGATGATTATACGAGCTCTTGTTGTTCCATTGCATTGCAAATGTGTACTCAGTCAAATAAGTTTAACTGAGTAAGACAGACATTGATGTCTTCAATATAGTTTAGCATTGCATGGTTGTGAATATTAAACTGGCACTACAGCTCTGCAGGAGTGCGCTGTTTGCATCCAGTCACAAACAAAATGGATGCATGTTTTCCTTTGCGTAGTGATAAACTGTGTAACGCTGGTAGCTTTGCTTGTAATGAAGAAACATTTCAACATGAAATTATCACAAGATTTGTGGATTTCTTTAAAGAAATGTACCTCTTTTCTGGGATTTGGCTTGTTTGGCTTAGCTCATAAAAATGAGGCTTAAAGAGCAAAGGAGCAAAGCAAAAATACAACAGGATCCAGAAAAAGAGTTGTAATTTCCATCACTAACTACCTGCATCTGTAGTATTTCTTAGTTTGTTCATTTATATGCATATACCATGGTTAGGCTTGGATATGCCTGCCTTTGACCTTTGATCATGTTGAATCACAAGTTAACATCACATGTGGTCCTTGTTCTTTTTTCCATTAGCTTAACACAGCTATCCTTGGTTGGAGCAAAGTGTGTTTGTGTGTGAGTGTGGGTGTTTATGTGTGTCAGCTGAGTCCTAAATGACCCCTTAGCAATTCTGCAAGCGGCATAAGCCACGATCAGGACTGTATCCATTTCTTCAGCACGGAAATAGGCCCACAAGCAGTTGGAAACTTCTGTCATGAAGCCTCCTCTCTCAAACACTTGTGGTTTTCCAAATGTATGGAAAACAGTCGCTATGTGACACCTAAATCCAGACTGTCAAGGCAGCTCAAAGTGACATTAGGACAGAGCCAAGTGGGTCATTCAGCGCTGAGAGAACGAGACTGTTGGTGCTGACTGATTTATCACGGGGGGCAATGTGTTCGTGTTACCTGACTCGCTGTTGTTTTTGTTTGACTTGTTACTAAGCTGCAGTCAACCTCTAATCAGACAGCTTTATTTCTTGATGGTAACTGTCCACCTCCTGCAGGAATGTACCTGAGCAATAATCCTGCTATAAAATATTTTTGTTGCTACTGTAAACTTGTACAGCTTTCTCACTTTGCTGTATCAGTCATGTCTATGTTTGTCTAAATCCCTCCAATAAATTTGTGAATAATAGTTTTGATTGTTTTTTCTCCATTTTCTCCTGTTTGTCTTTTAGTACCAGATTGGTCAGCTGTACATGATCAGTAAACACAGTCATGAGCAGAGTGAACGTGGAGAAGGTGTGGAGGTGGTGCAGAATGAGCCCTACGAGGATCCGGAGCATGGATCAGGCCAGTTCACAGAAAAACGAATCTACCTCAATAAGTGAGTGTCTTGTTTTGGTTATGTTTCCTACAGCCGTGTCAAAATCCATTTTATAAATTGTTTAAATATCAGTAGATATCTATGAACGTCTCAAGATTATTTAAACGGTGAGCTCTTGAGAAATCAATTGATTTTTTTTAAAACATTCGACTTTGGGATAAACCAACCTTTCACATTAACGTTCCATTATTTTACCCCTGACGCTTGTCCTTATAATGGGACTTTGTTTTTTCCAGATTTAAAGTTACTGGTTGCAATTTCATGAAGACAATCCAAAAAATAAATCATAAAGTTAGAAACAAAATATGCACATCTTTCTCATACTAAAGGTAAATGTCTCAAAAAAATTATAAAAATAAAAATAGTTTGTGACTGGATGACAACCATCACCTGCATTTGTTTACCTAAAGAGCTGCAGTGACTGAAAATATGTCAAATGTTAAACTTTATCTACCCCCACAGATGACGAGCAACCTAAGGTAGCTCAATTATGCAGTGCAAGCTTCAAATTCAGCTCAGTACTTTGTTTACATAGAATGCGGACCCGCATTTCAGAATTATATTGCATATATCTGGAACACTACTGGAGTAAACGTTTAAAATCTGCATCATTTGATATAGTTATTTGTTATTTGATATAGTATAACCTGGGCAGCATGGTGGTGTAATTGGTAGAGATGCTGCCTCTCAGCAAGAAGTTTGCTGGTTCAAATCCCAATCCAGGGACCTTTCAGGGTGGAGTTTGCATGTTCTCTCTGTGCATGCGTGGGTTTTCTCCGGGTCCTCCAGTTTCCTCCCACAGACCAAAAACATGCATGTTAGGCTGATTGGTAACTCTAAATTGTCTCCAGGTGTGAGTGAGAGAGTGAATGATTGTCTCATTTGTCTCTACGTGTCCCTGTGATGGACTGGAGACCTGTCCAGGATGTGCCCCGCCCCTCGCACACATTGTTGGACATGGGCACCGGTGACCCCTGTGACCCAAAATGGAATAAGCGGGTAAAGATAATGGATGGATGGATATAGCATAACATTGTTTATGTTTGATTTCATACTTTGCAATGAGTAGCTTTACTATTAAAACCTGCTATCTTAACTCAGAGCTCTTGCTTTTGTTTTCAGCATCTTTATTTCTATTTTAAAACTTTATGACAGTTGGAATTTGTAATTTTTGAATTACTTTATGTTCTCAAACAATGTTTGTTTTTGGGTTTATGGGGTTCTATAAATCCAAATATCTTGGGGAAATTAAAAATTCAGACAACATAAACACTTGAGTTTTAATTCCTTTGGAAATGACCACAAACGAGACAAGTTATGTGAAAAATGTAGAGCCTTCAAAATAAAGACCCATAGTCTCTTCTCTCATCTTTCACACCAGAACACAAACTGAAGAACATGTCACATTTAAAGAACACCTTCTATCATAATATTTCTTGTCATAAATTTATTTTCTTTAAGAAAAGTCATATTAAAAAACATCAGTTTTTTTATAGCATCGTGCTTGATAATTGCCATTTCTTTCTCAATACATCTAATTTGTTTAGGCATTTTTATACTGAAGTTTAATTTCTGACATTTTTAAACGAGGTTTAAAAGTGCTTGGTTTTACACAATAAACAATGTTCCCCTTCTCCTTATAACTTTACAAAATAACAATTTGTGCATCAACATTGACCTGAGGCTGTTTTAATGTCTCCAATATTCTGTCCCACATTAATGATTCTCAGTTTTCCAGCACAAGTCCTGAGCTGTAAAGCTGCTGCTGATAAAACTGTCAGTATGAATCTGAATGAGAAAAGATTAAGTGACTTCTCATCACTGCGTAGCTGTGACTGACACTCATCTTTCAGCAGTCCTCACTGTTAATTATCATTCATGAACCATATTGTGAGCTATTATGTGTTAAAATCTGTAAACTTCCAGAGTCAAAATCAACAACCTAGATTTTATCTTAGCTTTCATGTCTCATTAATGAACAAATTAAAAATCTAATCTTTATTTTAATTCCATGTCTCCGTATGTTTTACTTTTGTGTGTTCAACGATTTGTGAAACTTGATAAGCGTGAAATTGAGAATCTAATTTTCTCTTCTGCAGACTACAATTCAGTTGTCAACTGAGTGCAGTGTCTTTAATCTCGGTTATAAATTTGCACCGAATGTGACACTATCACCCACTGCAAAGAGGATTGTTCTGTGCAGAATCACTTTGTTTCTTCTCAGAGAGACTGATAGGAGGAATCAAGCTGAGAGCAGACTCAGACAGCATTCGGATTCTTTGTTTGTCACGAGAAAATGGAAGCGGTATAGACAAAAAGCGTAAATGGGTTGAGGGAGAGTTTTACATTTGAGAGATAAGACACAAACCGTTTGCCAACATGCGCTCTATTCTGAGTCGTCTGTGTTTTTAAAAAGTTTCTTTCAAACAAGTTTCTGCTTCTATTGCAGTAGTTCCTTTAATTTGGAACTAATTTTAGACTGCACTCTCATTATTGCATATTCAGTGAAGAACAAGAAAATCTCCAAACCTCCAGGAGCAAAATGTTAATCAGTTATACTAACTTAAATGAAAGTTTTACAGTTTAAAATGATGGATTTTCATGAAGACATTGAAGTTCAGGGTTGGCTCTGTTGCGTTACATCTGGTAAGATTCAAGTTAACCACCTAACTGAAGTGGGATATGGGTGAAAGTTTAATTCCACTGATGACATAATCAGCACCAGATGCAGGAAGAGGGCCACCTGCATCATGAAGGACCCCACTCACCCAGCACATACACTTTTTGCCCCACTCCCCTCAGGAAGGAGCTTGAGGAGCATTAAGTGTAGAACCACTAGACTGAGGGACAGCTTCTACCCTGAGACTGTTAGACTCATGAATATCTAACCAGAATACTCACTGTGAAAAAATCACATCATGCTGCTGCTGATCTGTTTCAACGTTGCTGCTGATCTGTTTCATGTTACTGTGTTCATGCGTGCTCATCTGCTCACACAGACTCATGTTCATGTTTGTGCTGCTGTTCGACGTAATGTTTTTATGCTATTAGTGCTTAGTGTATTTTTTGTTGATGTTTTTCTTAGTTCATATCTTAGATGTTATCATTGTTTTTCTTTTACATTTTATTGTTGGATGTAACTGGGACCCTGTGTACATAATTTCGTTCCACCACATGTACCACATGAGGTGCGAATGACAATAAAGAATCTCTGACTCTGACAACGAGTCATAATCAAGTCATAGCTACCCAAATGTTCTTTTTATTAGTATTATTTTTGACTTTTGAAACTCTTATAAATGCCAAAATAGCTAACTGGAACAGTTTTTTAAATGCTAAAAAACATATTTTCAACTGATACAAACAGTATAAATGTACCCATTTCCCTTTGGTATAATATCTTAAAATCTGCACGTTTTCTTAATCAAACAGAGCATAAAGTTTAAAGATTTACCAAGTCAAATGTATAGGTGTCACGATAGGAATTGTATGCAACAAAAACTTGTTTTTATTGCATTTTACTCACATTTATTTTAATGAAAGCAAAATCTTACATCTTTTTAGCATTTTCAATGTTTATAAATTACAGACTCGGTCTTGCAAGAGTTCCTGAAGAACTGTCATTTAGAAGTGACGTTTCCGTTAAATAAATTAATAAATACAGAAGACGTGTTTTATTGGCTGCACCGCTGGCTAAAATGTCCCTCATTTGTCCAGACAATATTAACTTCTTAAATGTCATCTCGGAAACACGTTCTGCCGTCTTCAAAGCTGGACGGTAAAACACTGATCATGATGATGTTTAACAACCAAGTGCCCTTTGGACAAGTAGTTTTAAAGCTTTATTATTATTTTTACACTGAAGTAACTCAAATATAAAGCACATTATTAGTTGCGTAAAAGACTGTTGCTGCTATTGCAGGAATTTTAATGCAAATTTATATTTAGTATTACAAAGTTAAAGCACAATAACATATAGTTTTGTAATTCTTAAAGTTTAAACTGCATTTAAAATGTTTTTGTTTTTAAAACAGTCACTGTAATATCACAAATGTGCTCCAGAATTTCATTCATTTGTCTTATTCCAGTCAGACAGGATGAAACGGTTCACAATGAACACAATCTGTGACAGACACCTGGTTACACTCGTTCCCAAAAGACAGACAGAAACAGAGCTACCAAACCAAGAGACAGGAGAACAAGAAGTTTTGTGGCCAGAAGTGACATGTCAGGGTGCCTCTGGGAAATCTGAACTGTCACCAATACACTGAGAAGAAGAAGACAGGACTGTGTGTGAGTGCGTTCTTGTGCAGTTGTGTTTATCATTGTATGCGGGGGCGAGGGAGATGAGGTCAGCATAAGCGGTGGATAATTTGAGCAGTTGCTGTTGGACGTGGAGCCTGCCTCTCTTCGCCCACTAACCACCTGTTACTGTGTTAGCACTGCAGTCTGTGTATGTGTGTGTGTGTGATTGTGTGTGTGTGTGTGTGTGTGTGTGTGCGTGCGTGCGTGTGTGTGGTGGGAAGGGGGGAGGGGGTGTAAATAAATCAGAGTGAGTACGTGTGACCGGTCTGCTGTGTTTGGATATGTCCCTGAACATTTACTGAAGGGAACCGTCTGTCTCGTGTCGCTATAACCTCAAAAAGACTCCGATAATCCTATTTCATTTATAGCATCGTCTTTCACACATAAAACAAATAAAACAGTAATGCTGCAGGATTAGAATGAAAATCAACTTAAATTTGAAACCCTAATCCATCAAAACATTCAATTCCTGTACGATGGTAGTCTAATGTGTTTAATTCAGACACAATAAAACTGTAATTTAACTAAACTGGAACTCAATAATGACGATCTCTTTTTTCCAAATCTATTGTCAATTAGTGATTCAATTAGTGATTATAGTTATTTTGTAAGAACTGTCAGTGTTTTAAGTCAGTCATTTCCATTCACCTCAGATTTCACATACATCTCAAATATGTGGTCTGGTGATTTTCCTTTGTTTAGGGTTCATTTGTATTGAGAAATAGCAGATCCTCTGCATTTTCCCCTCTTATTTCCCTCTGCACGTCTTTGTATCTGTCACAGCATCAGCTTTAGTGAAACTCCCCAGCAGGGTGTGGGTCATAATCAGTGTAATCGCTTCTCCAGGGACCATGAAGCCTGCATTGCGAGACCACCAATATGGCTGCACACAGCTGGAGTTTGTCATCGTCTGTTCTGGCTGATAGGCCAAAAGAAAAGAGTTGAGAAACTTAAATGAAAGCCTAATTTGTCACTGCAGCACACAGGCTATTTGTCTCATCAGTCTTCTCGCTTTACTTCTTTTTCTTCTCCTGTGAACTAATAATTTCTTTGATATGTATGTGTGTTTCAGCAAACTGCCCAGCTGGGCCCGAGCAGTGGTCCCTAAAATATTCTATGTTACAGAGAAGGCTTGGAACTATTACCCATACACCATCACAGGTAACAATTTAATTGTACATCTTCATTCTCTTTTATAACACAGCCATAAACTCCAGATTATATTAGCTGTACACTAATCATTATTAGTTTCTGATATGACTGTCAAGCAAGAAATAACTGGTTCAAAACAATGTAGAAATTGCTTCTCGAGACAATGATTACTCCTTCTAATAATAATTTGGACATCAGCTGCTGGAGGCTGGTTATAAAATCATTAGGAGGGTAGAAATAAATTGTCTGTGTAACAAAAAGAGAATTTGGTATAAGGAATAAAATCTAAAAATCCCAATTGTGGGATTTTCCTCCTTTTATTTATTTGTACCCTTTATATTAGTCAAATTCCTGCTAAATATCTCATATAAACTGGTGTTTTTATCATCTAACAATGTTGCTCTTTTTAGGATGCAAAAACAAAATTTGATAATTAAAAAATATATAATTAAATCAGACTTAAAGGATTTTTACTGTGATTTGTCCAAAGCATATCTTTCAAAGTGCAACTCCAGTACTTTTTTAATGCAAACTAATAACAAATTATTTTAAAATATCAAACACCACACACTGCAATCCCACGTTTAATTCATTGTCATGTTGGACTTCTAATAACTCTGTCTGTTCTTGTGACATATGTGAATAATATTCCCTCATCAAGACTGCTAGAAAAATAAATAAAAAATATGGAATTGTCACAGCAAAATGTGAGCTCTTTTCTTGTGCTTTTACTGGAACTAAACCCTCCCTGCTGAGCCCTAATGGTCCTTATCCTATTTTCCTTTTCTCTATTTTCATACTGTTTTATTTCTTTGTTTTCTTTTACCTGTCCTTCCCTCTCATCTCCCATTCCTGTCCGTTACACTGATGGCCTCTGCTGAAAACACACTCAGAGTACACGGTGAGTAGCTTCAACGTTTCTGCCATGCACACACATTTTGATCCAAGATGCATTATATGTTGATCAACACTGGCTCTGGTGATTTTTTTTTTGTTTGTTTATTCTTATTCTTTCTCTTAACATTACAGTTGTGATGTATAACTAAAGGTAAAAATTACAACCAATAATTTTATGGCAAGCATAATACCAGAGTTGAAGAAGCACATCAGTGTCACCTCAGCAGACAAAGAGAGTAGAGTTTGAAACAAACATTTTTATCATTAACTTGGTTTGAATCGAGGGAGGAACTCCTTCCTTGCTCTTGCTAGGTCTTGAGGCTTCTTCAGAGTTAAGAGTTAAATATGGATTCCTCCTGTACGCAGTGGCATTGTTGGTTTCTTAGACTGGTTTACAATACTGTATTTCTGTAACATCTAGCTTCCTTTTCCTATCCAATGGGATGAACACACTTAAGAAAAAAATCATTATTCATTAATTCAACCTTTATTTGAACAGGTTAGTCTCATTGAGCTTCGAAGACTCATTTACAAGAAAGACCTGTTTTTAACAAAGAATAATGACAAACAACACTGTGCACATTCTCTGAAATCTTTATATTTCATTTACTACTTCAGATTCAGATGTTATTTAGGAATGTTTTCTAATCAGAAACTTTAACAGAACTCAGCTCAGCTGTTTGACTGATGATAAAAACATTGATTTGCACCAGGAGGATGTACTCTGGGAGAGGCCCATTCACAGGAAAACACAAACCTTCTCCACTAACTTGTGTTGTAAGAGGTACAGAAAAATAACTGCAACAAAGAAGAATAAATCAGGAATTAATTTTCTTAATCAAAGTTAGCAATGACTTGGAGTCTACATGTACACTGCCTGGCCAAAAAAAAGTTGCCACCTGGATTTAATCAAGCAAATAGGTATGAGCCTCCTATTAGATAATTACTGCATGGGTGATTAACTTTCAGCTGGCAACAAGTTATTTAACCCCAACTGGTGCAGTGAGTTGCTTCTCATTTCTTAAACAACCATGTTGACAGACACATCGCGGGGTCGTGGAAAAGATGTCAGTCTGTTTGAGAAGGGTCAAACCATCGGCATGCATCAAGCAAAGAAAACATCTAAGGAGACTGCAGAAACTACAAAAATTGGGTAAAGAACTGTCCAACACATTATTAAAAACTGGAAAGATAGTGGGGACCCATTGTCTTCAAGGAAGAAATGTTGCTGGAAAAAAATCCTGAATGATCGTGATCGGCGATCACTTAAACATTTGGTGAAATCAAATCAAAGAAAAACAACAGTAACACTAAGGGTTATGTTTAATAGTGAAAGTAAGAGCATTTCCACATGCACAATGCAAAGGGAGCTCAAGGGATTAGGACTGAACAGCTGTGTAGCCTTTAGAAAACCACTAATCAGTGAGACTAACTGAACAAAAGGTTTAAATTTGCTAGGGAGCATAAAGATTGGACTCTGGAGCAATGGAAGGTCATGTAGTCTGATGAGTCCAGATTTACCCTGTTCCAGAGTGATGGGCGCATCAGGGTAAGAAGAGAGGCAGGTGAAGTGATGCACCCATCATGCCTAGTGTCTAGTCATCAATGCAAGATCTTGGTGAAAAATTAATGCAACACTGGATTGAAATAGATCTTGTGACATTGCAGAAGCTTATTGAAACAATGACAAAGCAAATGTATGCTGAAATCAAAGCTAAAGGCGGTCCAAGGAAATATTAGTGTGACCTTCTTTTTTTTTGGTGGCGACTTGTTTTTTTGGCCAGGCAGTGTATGAAGGTTGCAGAAGTAAGAAAGTGTGACAATAATGTGGCTATTATGTCTCATGAGACCAATGAAACTAGAGGATATATTGGAAATATTAGTTTGTTAAAATGAAAAAAGTGATTGGTTGTAGCAGTGATAAGCAGCCATGAGTTTTTGTCTTAATTTCATTTTGTTTGTTCATAATTTAGGTTGCTATTAACATAAATACCACTGAGTTTAACAAAAATATAATTATGCTGGACTTGGAACAATAATATTTACCTTATTTTATCAATGGCCAACTTTAATTAATTAGTTACAACCATCAGTAAAAGTATTTTGATTAAGTAAATCACTCCTTATGGAATAATTAATCCCATATCCTCATAATTTCTAGTTTCTAGTGTACACATTACTTACATTCTCATTTGCCAAATATTTCCACACAAACATTAAATTAAAAATAATGCATGATATACTCCACACTAATCATAAATAACTGCATAACTCAGAACAAAAGCATATCTTTTTGTATAAGAAACAAACTCCAACCCTCAAAATTGTCTTTGTAAACATGGTGACAATTTGGTCCCCATAAAACAGGAAGTCCACCTTAGGTGGGTGTCCTGGCAGGCTTTGGACCCCATAATGAATAAAAACAAACCCCCACACACACTCACACACACACAATGGCTGTGGATTAACAGTTTATTTGAATTTTTAACTGTTTTGGAAGTTTTAAAGCTTTAATCAAGTTTTTTGGGCATTAAAGCTGATGATCCTCATCATAATTCAATAAACTCAGTGAATGTGTCTGCACATAACAACCAGGTGCATGTAAAGAAAATCTACAAAGTAAGATAGTAAATATTACCACAAAAAGAAATCAGGCAAAGAGACAGTTGGTTTCACTTGTCATTCTTTGTGATGTGATCTGATCCAAACATCTTTAAGCACTGTTTTCAGCCTCTAATAAAGATACCATGATGCATCTTGACTTATTCTTCATTTTTTTCCTGCAGTGCTCCTTCCTTCCAAAGTTTTCGATCCACATAGAGACCAAATATGAGGACAACAAAGGAAACAATGATAAGGTATGTACAAATGGTAGAATGCATGTGATTGGTACAAATTGTGTGGGGAGAACTAAAATAAAAAAAACAACAGAGGAGGTCACTGCTTGATTTTTCAATTGAGTTTTGATTTGGGACATTTGGCTTTCCTCTATCATCCGTTTTATTGTTTCATTTTCTTTATCATACAATTTTTTTATCACCATCTTTATGCTCCAAAGCCTTCATATCAAATCTAATGAATTGTCTTTGTCAGTGGGTTATTGTGTCATTGTGACTGAGGGTCATGAAGAAAATGGGCACTCATTCTGCTACCTTCACATTCCTGCAGATAGTTCAGATTTAGACGCATCATAACAGAGTCTGCTGGTGGAAAACATCATTATTTTTTATGACCAAATCAATTTGACTGATTCACACAATCTCACACAACCAGCACAGTTGTGACCTTCCTGAAAAAAATACAAACCTCTCATAGTGTCCAAATGTGGTCTAAAACAACTTTTTTATACACAACGTAAGTTTCAAAAGCATTTAAAGGGAATGTGGTAAAATTACACTAAACTACTTGGGAATTTATAAATTAAAGAAGCAATCCAAAATGTCATAATTCTAATTTTTTAAACATATAATCCTTCAGAATAACCTGTTAAACCTACCTGACCTGGTGCTGTAGTAATTTATTCAACATCCAGAAGTCGTGAACATCACAAAACATTTTTCAGCTTTAATTAATCAATGATTTGGCATGAATATCTACAACACCACTGCCAAAGCATGAAATTATAACAAAAACATATGTCACTAAATATATTATTAATATTAAAAACTACAGATATAAAAGATATATATATTGATATGGATAATCAATATATATATTGATTGTACATGTAGACTCCAAGTCATTGCTAACTTTGATTAAGAAAATTAATTCCTGATTTATTCTTCTTTGTTGCATGGATAACCCATGGATAACAAATGGGTTGAAAAACGCTTGTAAAAAAAGAACAATTTGTACTCGTGCTTCTTGAAATTGAAAACAAAAGAAGCAAAAGAAAGATACAAAAAGTATAAAAATAAACTGGTTTGGATCATAAGAAAACATAATAAGGAATATTATAGTAATTTATTAGACAAAAGTAATGGTAATATGAGAACAACATGGCAAATAATGACTAGCGTTTTAAAAAATCATGAATCCAAATCAAGTATTCCACAATATTTTGTAAAGGAAGGTAATAATATACATGACCAAAATGTGATTGTAAATGAGTTTAATAATTATTTTGTAAATGTTGGCCCAAGCCTTGCAAACAAAATACCTACAGTAGATACAAAAGTGAATCACAAAATTACAAGTTGTACTAATAGTATATTTTTGGAAGGAACTAACAAAGAAGAGGAAATAGATGTCGTAAATGACCTTGCAGATAAAAGATCAAAGGATTGGGTTGACATGGATATGTTTGTAAAAAACATAATGAGTTATGTCATTGAGTCGTTTGTACACATCTGTATTCTGTCATTCAAATCAGGAATATTTCCAAATAATATGAAAACTGCCAAAGTGGTTCCACTTTTTAAAAATGGGGATAAATGTGACTTTAATAATTATAGACCAATATCACTGTTGCCACAATTTTCCAAGATCTTGGATAAATTATTTGGGATCAGATTGGATCGATTCATTGACAAACAAAACACACTAAGTAATAGTCAATATGGATTTAGAAAATATAATTCCACATCAATGGCACTTGTTGAATTGGTGGAACAAATAACAAATACAGTTGATCAAAAGAAGAGTTGTATTAATATTTATGTTGATTTAAGGAAGGCATTTGATACTATAGATCATGGAATTCTTCTTGAGAAACTATATAAATATGGTATTAGAGGGACAGCATTAAAGTGGGTAAATAGGTATTTGGAAGATAGAAAACAATTTGTTCAAATACATAACATAAGATCTAAATTTAGTAATATCACATGTGGAGTGCCTCAAGGCTTCGTACTTGGACCCAGGTTATTTAATTTGTATGTAAATGACTTGGTTAATATGTCAGACTTTTTTAGATGTATTTTATTTGCAGATGACACAACATTTATTTGTAAAGGTGATAACAGAACAAATGCTGGAGTTAATATGGTCAGAATTTGTGAAAATCCAAAATTGGTTTCGTCTAAATAAGTTATCATTAAATCTGGAAAAAATCTATTACATGATACACAGTAACAGAAAAACAGATGTTCATGCTCCATTTTTGGTAGGTGGAACTGAAATTTGCAGAGTTAGTTGAGGTGAAATTCTTGGGTGTTATTATTGATGAGAAATTAACATGGAAACCTCAGTTAAACCATTTGAGAACAAAAATATCTAAATCAATAGCAATTCTGTATAAAGTAAGAGAGTTATTCACTGATGAAGCAATGTTTATGTTGTATAATGCAATAGTTGTTCCTTATTTGGTTTACTGTATTGAAGTCTGGGGTAACGCGTGTAAAACTATAACTAATCCTTTGTTCATTTTACAGAAAAGAGCTGTACGAATTATTATGAAAAAAACAATAGATATCCATTGAATACTTTATTTTATCAACTGAAAATTTTGAAATTCTATGATTTGGTTAATTATAACATTTTGTTGCTTATGTATAGGGCACATAAAGGCATGTTGCCCGTTAATATTCAAACACATTTTGTTAAAAGAGAAAGTGTATATGTTCTTAAAGGAATTGAGATGTTTGTGAAGCCTTATTTTAGGACTAGTTAAATCTACTTAAGTTGTCTGATTTAATTTAGATGTTTGGATTTTTATGTTTTTAACTTAGCTAGATTGTTATATCTTTGTGAATTATATTTTAATTTAACTTTTGCAAAAATATTTTGATTTACTTTAGAATTAAGTAAAAAGGGGCAGTTTTCATAAGACTAGCTCTTCTTCAGCCACCTTTCATTTTATTTTATTTACATTTTTTGATTGTATTGTGTGTGTATATATATATATATATATATATATATATATATAAATATATAAATATATATATATATATATATATATATATCTTGTGTTTAGTTTTTATTTAATTGTCATATTTTCATTCAAATGAAATGAATAAAATTAAATAAATAAAAATAGTTGTATAAGATTTTGAATGTTCGAATTCTCCTAGAGTAAAATGAAAATGTAAACTCTTTGCTTGGTTCTCATCTCTCCTTCAGAGCCTTTTAACACTTCCAGTTGTAGAAGTCTTATTATGCAATACTGCCTCCATCCATTCATCAGCATAAAACAAAAGGCTGCAGCTCCACTCAGTGGTTTTTCACACAAGTTGCACCCAAAGTTGCGATGGTTGCACAGATGGTTCATAAATTCACATTTGGTTGCTGACTGGAACAAACTGGGGTGTACACTCATTCAGAAGAAGGGTTGGCTCTTCCATTTTTAACACCTCCACCATTTGTCCATTTGTCCTGTTACTAGCACTCTTTGTCTACTAAAGACCACCATCTTTAGTAAACCGTTTTTCTTTTTTTTTCTCTTTTACTTAAACTGTGTAAGAGTTTGCATCTAGTTGAATCAAAAACTAGTAAAGAAGTGTTCAAAAAAGATAATTATTAATAATATAATTTACTTTTTGTTTGATGCATCGTCTGAAAAAAGCCAAATGGAAATTATAGCTTCTGTGGGTTTTTTTTTTTAAATCCAAGATGAACTTTTTAATAAACTCAAACTTTTTGGTTACTTGTTATAAGGAACATTTTATGTTTATTTTTAACTCAAACAGTTCTTGCATGTGTGAAATTAGCCCACTCTCTCTCTCTCAATCTCAGCAGATCCACCCACAAATATTTGTGAATAACCAAAGAGGTTTTATTTTTTCATCTAAATGTTTTCCTGTCTGTCAGATCTTTGAAAGCATGGCCAGAGGTGAGGAAACCGAGGTGTGCTTTGTAGATATCGCCTACGATGAGATCCCCGAGCGCCACTACAAGGAGTCAGAGGTGAGTGAACAAAGGGGGGGAAAGAGTGGAAAATGTGAAAATGAGAGGAAACAGAGAAGAGAAAAATGATAACAAAGAACCGTAGCTATAGAGAAGGCATGAGAACAGATATGTGTTATTTTTCCCAAACACCACCAGCTCAGTTTGGACCACCAGCTGTCCGTCTGCCTCCTCTTTGTGATAAAAGGAACACAAATGCATGCATACATGTGGGGGAGGTGCTATCGACCGTGTTGAGTTGACATTCATATGCAAGCCTGTTGGCCAATCTATCAGGGCGTGATGGTCATAAGAAGCTGAACTATTAATAATCAAGAGGAGTCATGACATTGCTGCAATGATAACATCCTCATTTACACACATACACATCTCCACATACGCACACATGCACAGACCTTCCATCGACCTTTAAGGTCTTCTGGTTTCATGCTTTCAGAGCTAAAAATAGCACGGATAGGCTGTGCAGAGCTAAATATAGATATCAGACTGGAAATTGTTGAATTTCCAGTTGCAAGAATAGCACAGGTGGTTTCTTTGTAATGATTCTTCATGTAGACTGTTAGCTCATATTTCTTCACAACAAAAAACAAGCTTTTGATATATCTTCCACAAAAGTTACTGATTGGCCCTTTAAGTCAATGAGAGAAAATGCAGTTAGTTGTTGTACAACAGACTAGTTTGAATGAAGTTTTATGTATATAGTCCTATACATTTGGGATTTTGGTATAATGTAAAAATAAATGACCATTAGATGTGGTCTTTTTAATATTATCTGTGTCAGTGAAATATTTAGGTCTCTCTTGTAAATGAGTCCTCAAGGTTCAATGAGACTAACCTGTATAAATAAAGGTTGAATGATTTTTTTATTTTTATTTCTGTGCATCCATTACGCACATTTCTTTAAAAACACTAGTCTCATTGAACCATGAGGACTCAAAGAGGGACCTGTTCCAGACAGAACATATAAAGTATAGACAACATTAACAATAAACAATAACAATAAACTATAGTAAAAATGCTGTTCAAATAAGAGTAATGTATAAAACAATAAATCAGGGTGCCGTAAAACAGGGTGGAATACTAAAAACAAGAACATATCTGCCTTAATTTTTCCATTGACATTATCAAATGTTTGAAACCCCTTAAATAAATGAAGGTGGACAACTTCAGTTCTTGTTGCAAGGTGTTCCAGGTTGCAGGAGCATAGTAGGAAAAGGTATTTTTGCCAATTTCAGTCCACATTGAAGGAATGCTGCAGGTGATGAAGGCCTGAGAGCACATGTTGTAACTGCACTGACGACGTGACATGTGGGAGGAGACATAAGAAAACAGCAGACCAAGGAGGGATTTATAGATGGAAATGAACCAGTGTGAGAGCCTACATGTAGATAATGATGACCAACTGACCAAGGAGTACAGAGTGCAGTGATGGGTACGGTTACAACCAGTTATGAATCTTAGTGCACCATGGTAGACAGCATCCAACATCTGCAAGCAGCTGGCAGGAGCATTCATAGAACTAATGTCACCATAGTCAATGGCCAATAGGAAGGTAGCAGTTACAATGTGTTTTCTGGCATTCAGAGTTAAGCAAGATATTTTTCTGAAAAAGAAACCCAGTTTAAATTCCAATTTTTTTAATCAAGTTTTCGAAATGTGGTTTAAGAAAGATGTGCATCAACCAAAATTTCCAAGTATTTGTAAGAATCTACAAACTCAATAGGAACACCATGCATGGATGAGATAGGAGGAAATGTTGCTGGCACTGACTTTATGTTGAAAAACAACATCCCTTTGGTTTTGTCAGCATTTAGCACCAGCTTGAGATGGAATAAGTATGACTGAATGATGTCAAATGCAAACTGTAGAAGCTGGAAAACCTTGGCAACTATGTTAGCTCGGCAATAAATAACAGTGTTGTCGGCATAGCGGTGCAAGGATGTGTCAGGAATGTTTTGACCAATTTATATAAATTGTAAAAAGAGTGGGACCTAAAACTTAGCCTTGTGGCACACCATTGGTGACCTAGATGAAGTATTGTTATGTCGAACACATTGCCTCCAACCTGAGAGAGAGTTTGAGAACCAGCCAACGGTGTGATCTGAGAAGCCAATATCTTGAGAGCTTGTGGCATAAGATGTTGTGATCTACAGTATCAAAAGCTTTGGACAGATCTAAGTAAAGTGCAGCACAGTAATCCTTAGCGTCCAATGCTTCAACAACATCATTAAAAAACTTTAGCGAAGCAGTCATTGTGCTTGAAGAATATTGCCTTCTTATACAGAAAGGCTCAACCAATCTGTACCTTACAGTTCAAATTGTATTGCAGTACAGTGCTTACAGGATAAATCAGGGGTTTTATTTGGAAAGGATTCAAACAAAAATATTTTTACTGTAAGATAATTTTTAGCAAACTCATTTTGTAGAACTAAAGTCTAATTCTTGCTGGACTGACAAGCTAATGGCTAGTCCGAGTTAGGCCAGGAGTATGAAACTGATGGCAATGTAAAGATTTACAAAATAAAAATAAGATATTTGTTCACAAACTTTCCACAAAATCCCTTCTTTAAAAGATCTGAATGATTACTTTTAAAACGCTCTGTAATTCCTCCGTCTCTCTTCAGTAAACCTGATGACACATTTGATGCACAAATGCAGCATGCCTCCTCTGCTTCCACTAGAACTGTATTCCCTGCAGGGACAGAGTGTGGTGTCCCACCCGCACACATTCTGTCACAGTCCAACGCATGACCCCAAGACAAATGAGCACCACACCATAATTAGTCCACGGGGAGTGGTGATTAATGCATGTAACGTTAACGTTGAAGGACTCCGTCTGTGCAGCTTGGGCTGTACTCTGCATGAGACCTGTAATGAATGCAGGTGTTCCTGTCCTGTGGGCAGGGTGGGACAGATTACCGGGAGCTCGGGAGACAGATAAATGACAGAAAACACCACGGCATACTAATAAGGTGATGGTTGCAAATTTTAAGAGAAACAAGTTTTTTTTTCATGGGTTTGCCCATGCCCGTCTGTGTGTATCAGTTTGTCTTTATTATTAGCAAAATATCTTATAAACAACTGGATGGATTTTAATTAAACCTGCTGTAAATATTCAATTAAATGTGCAACTAACGTCATTACAAGGTTGTACCAAAACGGCTATAACTCCATCTCTTCACATCACAAGATTATCTTAGGCCGTTTACTCAAAAACGATTTCTGGTGAAAATGGAAAAGATTTGTTGTGTTTGTACTGTTCATTTACATGAAAATAGCCAATGCTTTCTCTGATAACGGCACAATTTGAGAACGGGTTCCAGAGTTCAATGGCTCAAAAATGTCCTGGTGTCCGTTGTCGTGTAAACAGAAAAAATAGATCTTTTCTGTCAGGGAATCCCTGGCTTATGTGCAGTATGACGCAAAACATAACGGCTTCCTACAATCCACAGAAGAAGAAATTAGCAACAACAGTGGATACCAGAGTATTATTTGTGCTTCGGACTTGTTTTTTTTACGCATGCGAACTTAAGAGTTTCAAAGAACATAGCGCCAACTAGTGGCATGGCAAGATAATTACACCTTCTCCACGTCTACCGTTGCTGTGTAAACAGAGGTAATTAGAACGTTTTCAGGAATGGGGAAAAAAAATTAGTTTTCATTGGCTCGTTGTCGTGTAAACAGGGACTTAGTTTGAAACTGATGGTGCCAAATTATATGCATTTCTTCTAGGAACATTAGACCTTTACTTTACAAGCAGAATATGTGATTTTGTCTCTTTTGACATTGCAGGACCTTCGATACTTTAAGTCAAAGAAGACTGACCGAGGGGTTCTGCAGGAGGGATGGATCAACACTCAAGACCCCATCATGTGCTCGTACAAACTGGTTACAGTCAAATTCGAAGTCTGGGGGCTGCAAACGCGAGTGGAACAATTTGTGCACAAGGTCAGCATGACAGGAATCTTATTGCACCAAACATACTGTCTTTATTTGATAAAACGTTTTGACCCGAGCGGATTTCTGCCACTGCCAGAGGTGTTCAATTTTCCTCTGTGTAAACATTAAATGTGCAGCATTTCTCTTATCACTCTACAATATCTGCCCTGTTCACATCTCCCAGAGAGCGCCGTCTATAACATTTAAACTTCATATTGCCTCTCCCAAACTCATTTTACCAAGCTCTCAGCGGCATTTGTCTTTGGGTCAAACTGTCCTCGTTTCTCCCCTTGCCTGAGGCTCACTTGGACACACACTTGGATACACACACGCACACACAAACAATCAGTCAGGGTCATTACTCGCAAAGCAACAGGACTGACTCATATTAATCATTTCTCTATAGAAAAACAGAAACATTAAGCCTTTGAAAATGTTTTCAGACTTTTTCCTCACCGTCAGTTAATGATTCACGTCCTGTTACCTTAAATTCCCTCCTCCGTCACGTCTTCCACTGTGATTTTTACTGTTTGTTTGGTTTCTTCAGTTAATTCTCTTTTCGTGCTCAGGTAATTCGAGATGTCCTTCTTCTAGGACACAAGCAGGCCTTTGCTTGGGTAGATGAGTGGATTGGTGAGTTTACGTCTAAAGATAAGAGACCTAGCGTTCCTTGAAGCTGTGCATATTGTCTGCAACCATTCATGTCAAGACTTTTAGGTATAGAGACCGAGTTATAGTTTGGTCAGATCTTTTAAATGTGTTATGTGTGAGGATGAAACTAACACCAAATTGAATCTCAATCTTGGAAACTATACGAGTTATAGCCATTTGTGGGGTTGCTAAGGTGTCTTAGGTGTGGTGGCCATCTTGAATGAGTTTCATCAAAATAAAGTCCATTGGTTAATGAGACAGTTTTGCTAACAACAAATACAAAAATGGGCAAAAACATGATCACCCATTCTTGTTTGGCAGCATCTCGACCTTGTGTTAAGTTCTGATTCATTCATTTTGTCAAATATGGCCAACTGATTAATATAAAATCAACTATTTTTCTTTCTATAATTAATTTATGAGTTGAACGATACAATGTGATGCTTCTTTCCAATCAGATATGACCATGGAGGAGGTGAGGGAATATGAACGCACCACGCAGGAAGCAACCAACCTGAAAATTGGCACTTTCCCCCCAACCATCTCCATCTCAGAGACCCCCCTGGCATCTTGTACCCGGAGTGGACCCAACAGTGCCCCGTCCACTCCCCTCTCCACTGAAGCGCCGGACTTCCTGTCAGTGCCCAAGGAGAGACCCAGGAAAAAGTCTGCTCCGGAGACGTTGACCCTGCCTGACCCTGGCCGCAGAGATTCACTCTTCAAACTGCCCAGCTTTTTCTCCTGGAACTCCAGTCCGCAGCCCGAATGAGGCCAGGCCTGCTCCACTTCAAAACACCTTCAACTTGCCAATCAGAGCCCATCCAGTACAACGTGTCCTCGGCCAGCACGAGTGAAGGAGGCCTTTTACTGTCCTGGTCATCCCTGAACCTCAGCTGGTGTTACAGCGAAGCCAGCACTCCTCAGACTGCCTGTACAGGCACAGGCAGGCAACTCCATCCCTACAGCAAAGCCTTCTAAGGTGTTATGGTCCACACAAGAGTCAAAGCAAAGGCAGCTGCAGCTAAGAAGAAATACCCTGCATTGTGTATCGGTCAGTATGGAGTCCAACAAAGTAGCGTACATTCCTGCAAGTGTTTCAACCTACAGAGCATCACACACCCAAGCTCAGGGTGTCTTTTTAAAATATAAGGTTCAGTCACTTAAACTTTACATGTACAGATTCAGGTTTTTGCTGCTTCACCTTTGAACATGTGAACTTCTGGATTTGTCACTGGGAGCTTGTGTTTGTATCGTGATGGCGATTTGTGTTGGCCTCTGTAACAAGTATTATGATTTTACCTCTCAGGTGAACAGTGATTAGATATTATTGTAAATACCGTTTGAACACCATTGATGTCGATGCTAAAACTACGTCTGGATGTAGGAGTATGAAATGTATGTTTGAACAGACAAGATTGTCACGTCCGTGTTTATTTATAATGAATACCTGCCATATGTCTTCATGGGATAAAATTGTTTTGACAGAGGCCACTTTGAAATTTTCTGTCAATGAAATGTTTTCTTCGCCCGCTCAGTCTCTTACTGTGTTTCCCCTGAGGTTTTACTAAGCTTATGTGGTGCTGTCTACCTGCTATAATCTGTTTAATCGTGCTCATTTTTGGTGATGACTGTAATTATATCAAATATTAGTGCATCGATAACTGTGTGAAAATTCTGTTAATATTAAGTTTAAATATCAAATCTTAAATCGGTAAGCCTGTAAACAAAAGTAGGAGCCCTGAAGAAAGTCAAACAAGAAGAAAATGCCTACATTTAATGTTATTTATGTAAATATACACAAAAAGACGACTGCAGACTGGATAGTTTATACCATTTTTATGCTCGTGTAAAGCAATGTTGAATAAAACAATGATCAAATTGCATCAATGTTGTCAAATTCTCGTGTCTTAAGTTGCTTTTAATTTACTTTTTAAAGAAAATGACACAACAAAAAACTTATAACATCTTAGGAAATGTTACATTTTATAGCACACATTTAAAAAGTTCAAATGAACTTTTGTTGAAATTCACAAAAAAGTGCAAAGACACTGTGAACAAACTTTTCCTGTTTATGCAGCGTGTATGTTATTTTTTTATTTTATAAAACCTTTGCTAAATTAGTTGAACCAGGTAATCAAGTTGTAACAGTTTCCTATGAAGAACAGCTCAAGTCTTTATAAGACGTCCAATTTTTACCTGCAAAATAAAGACTTTAATGTTGCAGTGATGGGCAGACATGTCAGTACATGTGCAAACAAAGTGTTAGTTTAGAAGAAACTTACATCTCTGAATGAAAAACTTCTTAACTGTGTGTTTTCATTATCGACACATGCTTTAATAACAAATACAATATTAGTATGTCTCTGTTTATGTCCTGATGCATGCTCAATAATCCAGGTAGATAAATCTAACAAGAGTCAGGTCCTCTGGCTAGATTCTTCTTTGTTCATATACGTTTCGTCTTTTACCCAAAAGACTTCTTCAGTCTGACTGAAGAAGTCTGACCTGACTTAACCTTGTTAGATTTCTTTTAGTTCACACCATATGTTTGAAACAACTAACTTTTCCACAGCTAGTAATATTTGCTTGTTTCCCTCTTGCAATCTGATGACAATGTCTCACGTTAACATTTAACCTTTGAAGAGTTTGACAAAAAATGAGAATACAAAATGTGCAAAGTTCAGTTTAAATGTTATTCTAACATCAAATTAAAACAATCACATTATGCATCAATCTCATAGTTCCTATACCATGGCAGCCCGAGTGACACTCAAGTTATTTTGGGTCCTTATTTAATTTCTGTAAACCAAGCAGGCTCGCTCTGAACAACAAGAATAAAAAAGAGGGAACATTAATGTGTGCAGTTTGAAGTCATTAACAGAGATATTCTTATTCCACTCCTGAAATACATGTGATCCAGCAACCAAGACATTTATAAAACACATGAAATAGAAATGATTTAATGGGTAAAAAAAAAAAAAAAGCCAAAATGTCTAAAATGCAAATTAAACATCCATCCATCTTCTGCCGCTTATCTGTAGTTGGGTTGCAGAGACAAAAGAACCAGGAGAGAAACAGGCATCCCTCTCCCTAACGACACTTTCCAGCTCGTTCTGGCAGACACTGAGGGACGTACACAGAAAATCTCTAGAGGGGGGCGTCCAAGAGTAATCCTAATTAGATGCCTAAACCCCCTCAACTGATCTTTCAATGCGGAGGAGCAGCGGCTCTACTCCGAGCTCCCTCCGTATGACGGAGCTCCTCACCCTATCTAGAAGGCCGAGCCCAGCCAACCTACGAAGGAAGCCCATTTTGGCAGCCTGTATCCAGGATCTCGTTCCTTGGGTCCTCCACACAGGCCAAGGGCTCCACCAGACGTACCAGTTCACACTCACTATGTGTTTGGGTTTACCGTGTCTGGCCGACAGACTCCCCTGCCCTGCCACCGGATCCAACTCACCATCAGGTAGTGATCACTTGACAACTCTGCTCCTCTCTTCACCCGAGTGTTCAAGACATAGAGCCGCAGTTCCAAAGACAGGATTACGAAATTGATCATTGATCTTTGACCTTAGGTGGCCTGGTACCAAGTACACTTATGAACCACCCTATGCTCAAACATGGTGTTTGTTATGACAACCCATGCCTATCACAAACGTCTAATAAGCGAACATCCTTCTGGTTCAGATCAGGGAGGTCATTCCTCTCAATCACCCCCTTCCAGATGATGCTGTCATTGCACACACAGGCACTGAAGTCACCCAGTAAAACACAGGAATCCCCAGATGGCACCCCTTCCAAGACACCATCCAGAGACTCCAGGAAGGCTGGATAATCTGTAATGATGTTTGGTGCATAAGCACAACCAGTCAGAACCTTCCATCCTGCAGCCGAAGCTGCAGAGGCAACCCTCTCATTCACTGGGGAGAACTCCAACACAGAGACGTTCAGTCACACGCCTGCACAACGCCTCTCTCCCTGGACAACTCAAGAGCAGGAGAAAGTTCAGCCTCTTTCCAGGAGTTGGGTTCCAGAGCCCAAGCTGTGCGTAGAGGTGAGCCCAACTATATCAGGCTGGTGTCGCTCAACTTCACACACAAGCTCCAGCTCCTTACCTGCCAGTGAGGTGATGTTCCAGGTCCCTAAAGCTAATCTATGCCACCAGGAATCGACATGGCCAGGGACCCTCCATCGCCTGCCACCCGACTTGCACAGCACCCGACCTTAACGAACCTCCCCAAGGGTGATGGGTCCTCATGGAGGTGGCTACCTGTTATTTTTTTGGGCTTAGCCCAGCCGAGCCCCAGGAGCCAAGGCTCGACCACCAGGCACTCGCTGGCAAGCTCCTCGCCTAGGCCTGGCTCCAGCGAGGTGCCCCGGTTTCTCTTTTCCAGGCGAGGTTTCCTGATATAACCATTGCTTTTTCATCAAGGTTTTGAATTAAATAACTTTTACCAAATATAATGTTTATATTACTCTATAAAAGGATTAAAACATCTAATTTAAAAGCATTCCCCCCCACCCTATGTAAACAGTAAAACCCAGTACTGACTGGGTTGGCTTTGTTCTAGTTCAGAAATCTGTTCAGTGCAACAACACGTTAGGTGCGCTTGAATTGTGCGTGATTGCCTCATCTGCATCACTTTGTTCACTGTCCATCTCCTCCATCTTTGGTGAGGTTGTTCATTTTCCGTTTCTCCCTAATGCTACACATGACGTCGAGGAAAAACTCATACCAGAAAAACGTGAAGCCTGTTGACAGGGCAGCCTTCAAGAGGCTGGGCGAGAGGCCTTTGAAGAATCCTCGCAAGCCCTCCTCTTTGGCGACTTGAAACACGCAGTCTCTCAGACCGCTGTAGCTCTGCACCTGCACAGGAGGGGTAACACTGAGGAATGACACAGTTTGTGCTTTGATAAAATGAAATGTGCAAGGGGAAGAGCTCACCTTTCCAAAGTGAACCCTGGCTTTCTCAAAGCCCCCCACCTGCAGCCTCTTTTTGAACAAGTCACATGGATATGTCATCGTTTTGCTGATCATTCCTGCTCCGCTGCCACAAATCAGGCTGATCATGGTTCCTTGAAGAGACAAAATTCATCAGCGCATGCCTGCTTATACACTAACCTGTTTCAGAAAACACTCGTAACCAACGCTGAATTCTGGGTTGACAAACCCAGACAAGATTTCTGGCTCGATACAGCTGATGAAGCTTTGCTCAGTTATTCTAAAGTTTACTCTGAATTGATCATAAGGAAGTGTCTCAGTGAAAAATATCACCAATAAACTCATTGTACATTTATGGCCCATGAGTAAATAACATGTTTGTTCTCTCAACTGACTAAAGATTCATAAATAAGTTTAACTTAAACACTTAAATTATATGTAGTGAATAAATCTGTGTTTAATAAAGCTGCATCAGACTTAGCTGCACTGGAGTCTGGAAATATCCAGCAAGTTTCAGTTCCAAACTAAAAATGTACTTCACTCCTTGTGGAACAAAATTTTAAGAGATTTCCTAAGCTCTCTATTAAATATATATATAGTAAAGCTATCGAAACAAAAGGCTTAGCTATTTTCTGAAACAAAATGCAGGAGGACGAGGAATTTCTTTCCTACTGACCTCCTGAGTCCCCAGCTTTAGATGAGGGAGACAACATCTTTTTAAAGACATTGTAGAAGAAGAACTGCAGTCCAGCATAAGGAAACACTGCCAACAGGGTTGGAGAGAGGCCACGGTAAAATGTCCATGGTCCCTCTGAACGCCACATTGTGGACACGGCGTACCGCAAGTTTTTGTACACCTAAAAACACAGAGGAGGATTTGTAAATTATTAATACAGACATTTTATACAAGTCATTGGCTATAAAAAGGCATAAAGTACTGAGAGTGATAATGGTTTGTCTTTCAACTACTGTAGAGGACATAAAGTTAGTTGTCACCGAGTTGGGAATTAACTCCTTTGTATAGCAAACACATTCCACAGTCATATGTGAGGCTATCCGTCCGACACATGAAGTTTGGTCAAAACATTGTCATGTAACAAGGCAGGACGGTGACAGCGGAGCAGCAATCCTTTAATAGAATAACTGAGGTCTAGAGTAAATTTTAATCTGAAAATGAGCTGGGAAAAAACTAAAAAAGGCCGAGTATTCCTCAAAGAAATACAAAGTATCCACCACCTTTCATGTCAAACTTTTGAATGAAGATCATTTTTGATAGGAAGAGGCTATTATAGTTTGGTCAAACCTTGTAAATGATGAGCGATCTTATGCAATACTCTATTGGCACATAAGCATCTGTTGAGGATAACTTTACTATAAAAAAAAATTAGCTCAATATTTGAAAAAACTGCTAATGTCCGTCAGCTGTAGCAGCCATTATGAACTGGGTTGGCTCCAAAAATTAAGCCGTCGTTAATGCACATACAAAGATGAGTTTCTAAAAAATATGTCCAGTGATTCATGAGATATTTTGCTAACAGGTAACATGGGCTGATGCAAACAGTTAATGGCAAAAGTTTCCACTAAACATAGAGCAATATGCAATGTTAGTCTTGGGGGTGACGCTCCGCTACTACTATACCAAACTGTAGTTGTTAAACTGGCTGAACCATAGCAACATCTGTGTTTCTTTACAGCTGGTACAAAAACAAAGGCAAAAACATTATTGCATTTCTGCCTTCTGCAGCTGGCGTTAAAGAATCAAACTGCTGTACTAACCCAGCTGAAGAGCGGACTTCAACCTGATTATAAAACTCTAAACTAAATTTAAGAGACACCCGGATAAACAAAAGTCCATGCATCTAAATAAATCTAAACTTTTATGTAAAAAGTTGTTAAAAATCTACACTAAATAAGCTGATAAGGGTTTTTAAATTATGTGCTGTTCATCTGCTGCTGTGTTTATCTCCTTTAAAATCCCAGGGAAAAGTAGATTGTTTTAGTATCAACGTGTGAATTATTAATGCTGAGGAGGAAAGATGTACTTTGTTTTAACTGAGCCTAAAAACTGTCAGTAACAGAGTAGCAGCAGTGCGTCATGTTCTACCTTGGGTTCTCCCTGAGCAGCAAAGCGTGTCCTCAGTGTGTCCAGAGGCTGGCAGGCCATTGTAGCTGAGCAGGCTGCCAAGCCGCCACACACAAAGTGAACTCCTGATGTCTGACTATCATACGGTGTCGACTTGTGAACCATTTTGGTCAGAAACTCAAAGCTCACAAACTGGAAATAAAAAACATACAACAGATTCAGTTATGAATTACTGAGGTGGTTTATTCTGTCGCTTTAACTTGCAGTTTTCAATTCACAAGCTCTACCTGGACAGCCCCATAGCAGATGGAGAGGAGCTGGGCTGGAGCGTGACCCTTCCAGAAAGCAGAGAGACCCTCCTCTGAGTAAATGCGCAGAGTTGCCTGAAGTATTCCCCAATATTTCCCCATGGGCCTCCGCGAAGATACAGGCTCTATCTGCAGCTGTGAGGGACAGGGTTTCACTGATGAGCACACAGGATGCAAAATAGCATTGTCTCCTGTTTGTTGCAATGTAAATAAATCATCCTGGCTGGTTTACAGCTTTATTTGCAATATAATATCAAAGTCTAAAACTTTTTTTTTTTTTTAAGTTTCACCAAAGTTTGCATAAATCATCTGTCACCACCTGCTGGTGCAGAAGTGACTGAAAGTGTACTGTTACCTGAAATCTTATTTTAATGACATCAAAAGGGCTGATGAGAACTCTGGTGGCCATGCCAGCAGCTGAACCTGCGATGGCTGCTTCATGTGGGGTAGGAGCTGCATCCTGAGCCCGGGGGTCATACCCCACCATCTCTCCACAGCACCTCTCAACACTAGTGACAAAAAAAACAACCTTTCAGATTGCATAACAATAAGTTTAAAAGTCTGTGCGGTGTTGTAGGTTGCTGTGTAAGTGTGTTTGTGAATAATATGGTGTGGTTTGTTTTGATTATTTATGTAGCAACAATGATCAGGTGGAGGACAGTTGACTTGGGTCAAGCTAAGCTAAGCTAAGCTAACATCAGAGAAGCTGTTAACTTCGTAGCGGTAATAAAAAAACCAACAATGAATGATACCTTTACCTTGTCGTATAAGACCTTCATAAATTTAACCGCAACTTCTACTTTGGCACCGAGTGTATTGAATTCAACTATAATATACTATAATAAGACAAGAACAACTTCATACAGCTCGCCAGGTAAAACTGCCGCTGATGTTACAATACGCGTGCGCCGTCTTTCAAAGAACTACTACGAACAAGATGGGTCACTTCCTCAATAAACCACTCACAACGTAACTAACTCCGCCCCGTTTACGAAACATCCAGCCTGTGTACAGAATAATTTGGTTTACAGTTAATCTGATTGGATTATTTTGAAGGTTAGAACAAATATTGTATGTTTGTGGGTTAGAATCGCCGATATAAATAAAGAGGCACAAAGAGACAAACCTGAAGACACTGACAATACGTCACATCCGTCAAGCAAAGGCAGCCTATGAGGACAATAATAATAACGATTTATACTAAAACGTTGTAAATACAACAAAAATGTCCTGGGTTTTGGGCACTGCTATGTTGTATTTTAGGAGCCAAAATCTGATCACAGAGAATGGAAATGTACCGTAAACATGCGTAATACTAGAGTGAATCAGCCCAGCTTGTCTCGTTGGTGGACGTTGATGCAGCAAGTCCCAGTTGTCTAATTTGTTGCGCACGAGGGATGCAGTGTTGCCAGGTGAAAAATGTAGGATTATCGTACTAGATATATATATATTTTTTTTTATCGTATTTTGAAGGAAATTATAGAACACCCGTCATAACCAAAACAACAAATCTATTGATACACTATAGTAGTGATGGGTCAGCTTCCAGACCGGCTCTGCTTCTTCGTTTTTTTTTGTTTTTTTTTCCTCAATCATGGGGCGGGCGCAGCGGACTACTCAGCCAATCGTGGCAGTTGTTCTGAGGCAAACGCAAACACGTCACTCGTATGTAACATTTAGAAAAGCACATCTGTTTGTGGACACAGATGCCTTCAGGGTTCACAAAAAAAAAAAACTCCGACACAGTTGCGACAGGCTGATGACAACCGATTACCACCACATATTCACGGAATGGTCAAATTATCGTATATTTGGCCTTTTTTGGGATTATTGATCGTACAGAGGGCAAAATTGTCGTACAAACACGATAATTATCGTGCACCTGGCAACACATCATGTGGGGCTTTTATGCCCCGCCTACTCTCTCAGGAGTAAAATGTTTTTTAACGTCTTGAGCAGCAGAAGTAGAAGGGGAACTTCTTGAAAGAAGAGTCAGCACTAGAAACATTATCTAAGACGAGTGTTTTTTTTTTTACTTGAAGAGGGCAGAACTTCAAAACTTGAAATAGGGCCGGGTTTTTTTGTGGGGGGGCGACACATACACCAATGTAATCAACTTTCGGGGGCAGTGACCCATCTTTACCGTCATATTTCATCTTTGAAAGGTTGGACGCTGCTTGCTTGTGGTGGTATGGTCGACTCAGATGCGTTACTTACGTTAAAAAGGTACATTTTCCCACATATTTTAAAATTATGCGCTAATTAATCAAAGTACGTTTTGTACTAGCTGGACATTTAAAAATATTTATCCGTTTCATTCTTCTGGTGGGTGGCACTGGCGATAGCAACTGTGTCGAAGCACACCAGCTAGCAAAAGTACAATTTTATTATAGTTGAGACAATTTTATGTTGTCGTATTAGCAATACGCAATATTTAGACGTAACTTGGCATGTTCTTCCGGTTCAAATGTGGCCAACAATCAGTGTTTACCATCGCACAAAAGAAAAGTATACTTTGTTTGAGTATTACTTGGTATTTAGTTGCCAAAATCCCTTGTATCCCTCAGTGAATGAGCTGCAGGTTTGATGACTCCACAGGATTTTGTGGTTTGCTGTCCCAACAGCTTGTTTAAAAGGCTTGCACTCATTTTGTATGGGGGAAAAAAAAGATCTGTAACCTGAAGCCAACCACCCTTGTTCTACAGAAAAGTGCATTAAAAAGAGCTCTATGTTCAGGTGTAAATTATCTTCTACCTAAAATAATGGAAAACTCCAGTGACGACTACAGAATCCAGTCATTTGACCCGGACTCACAGATATTACTGAAAACTGCCTTGAAAGGTCAGGATTTCACTTTACTTGTTTATAATCTCCAAATATTTTGAATGTCATACGTAGATTTAAAGACCTACATATAGATGTTTTTTATTTATTTAAAGTTTTTGCTCTTTAAACGTATTTTAAAGGAGTTTTCTTACCCTCAGACCCTAGTTCCGTGAACCTGGAGGTCGTGTCCAACATCATTGTGGATCAGTCCTTAAAGGATGCTGCGTTCTGCAAAGAGTCTGGACGGATTTGTTACACGATTGTGCAGGTTGGTACTTTATCCGCCTGTGACCTTTCTGTTTAGGAATCTGTGTGGAAAATAATAAAAGTCCCAGCCTTTCTTGAAAGAGTGCATATCACCCGCCACAAAGGGCAGCTCAACGTCACACTGGATTATCATGCTAACGTTTGCTTCATCTCCTAAAGCAACTCTTAAATCAGCGTGTATTTCCAGACATTTCGTCCGTGCTCCCTCTCTTTGCGAGTCCTGATTGCCTCCTGATTTTGTCCAGGCTGAGGCCAACCAAAACGGTGGAAATGTTTTCAGAAAGCACCTGTTGAACCGACTGCAGCAGGAGTTTAACCCGCGTGAAGAGACGAGGACGCGCTCGCTGCAGGAGTGGGTGTGCTTCGTCACCTTCATCTGTAACATCTTCGACTACCTCAAGGTAAGAGCAGGAGGTGGAGGTAGCTTTCTTACTTGTTTTACACGAGAACAGGTCAGTCGTGTTATAGTCATCTGTATTTTGTTCACGAGCTTGGACTTGAACTCAAATGTTTTCATGTGGCATCTTGTGTAGTTATTTACTGCAATATGTTGTCAGTGTATCAAATATAAATCTGAAACATTTAGCATTATGTCTAAGCATTTCTAAAATTGTAGCTCAGATACATTTTCTTATTTTCAGTAGCCCAACAAACATGATATTAACCTCTATCATAATACATCTTTTATAGGAATAATTTTTACTACCTTTCATTGCGTCACTGTTGATGTTTGAAACCTTTAGCTAGCTTTTTACTGCCTTTTAGCTTTAGCTGCTTTTGTTTTTGGCTTGCATTTTGCTGCTTTTAGCTTGTTTTTACTTTAGCTTCTGCTGGTTTTAGCTTTACCTTCTGGCTGTTTTGGGGGAAATCTGTTGCCTCGTTTAACTTTAGCTCATTTTAATTTCCAGCAAAATCCAATTAAAGCCATTCCGGACAAAATGCAGTTTCTCTGATTAAAAACATTTATACGTTTTAGGGCTGGATTTGTTGCTCTCCAATGATGTTTCCTCTCTCAAAACCCTGATTTCAAGTAATAATCAAAACCTTTGTACTATCTTGACTCACAAAACATCTGTTTAGTCCATTTCCCAGCCGGCAGAGCGTCAGACAGGATGCTGTTGTAACTGTTTCATCTGAACGTATATGTTACATGAACGCTGAATGATCATGTATGGATAACTGGTTCCAGCAAATAACATTCCCAACATGCATCATTCATACCAGTAGACCATAAAATCATAATGAAATTAAGAAGATATGCAGTTTAGCTTTGTCATGATTGCAGCCACGTGGTGGCAGCATTTACCTCATTGTCTTCTGATTCTGCAACAATTAAACAGAAGTTGGTTTCTTTTTACTCTCATAAGAGTTTGTTTTTAAAACCTGTAGCAAAGTCAGTGTAAAGGTATTAAATCATACAACTTTATGATTTACTGTATGACTCTTAAGCTATTTCAATATATTTTATCTTCACACTCTGCAAACTAAAAAAAAAAGATCATGGATGCACGAATGAATCAGTTTGACCAAAACTGAGGAGTTTTCTGCTTGACTGGTAACAAACCCATCCAAAACTCATTTGTTTTCTGGTTTTTGAACACACCATAGCTTATGAAAGAAATTGCTGGGGTATTTTTTATTTTTTTATACAAATCTGTACCTCTGTCCAATAACCTGAATATTAATAGAATCCAGTGTCACAGAAATATCTGCATCTTGGTGCTTTCTTGGAGGAAAATATAGAGTATTTACTTTAAACATTTCATTATGAACAAGATTTTTAATTGTACAAATTATAAATATATATTTTTCATTGGTGTTTATTAAAGATAATATGCCTCTAACGTCTAAATTAATAATTTTTTTTAGCAATACACAGTATGGCTTTTAAACCTATGTGAAAAGGAAGGTAAAGTTAAAAGATCTCCAGGATTTTATGCGTTTTGATTTTTGTACTTTGGTGAAATTTATCTGTTTTGGCCTTTGTCTGTCTGTGGGCATTTCAGGTGAACAACATGCCGATGGTGGCGCTGGTCCATCCCGTGTACGACTGTCTCATGAGGCTGGCCCAACCAGACGCTTTAATGAACGAGGAAGAGGTGACGTCCACGCGTTTCATGTTAATGTGTGTATTTTTGGGGGGTTTTAGAGCCTGACCGATATCAAAAGTTTGACTATCGCCAATACCGATATTGGAAGGAGAAGGCTAATGCTGATAAGCGATATACTGGCTGAAATATTTTGAGCTTTGTTCACCCCAAGAATCTACGTAAACGGCTACTTTCAAACCTGTTTTAACACTTGAAGTCTTCAGTCTTCCTAATGTGTGTTCACATTTTCTATCCTCCACTATTCACCGCAAAGTTATCAAGTGTGTACCATAACTATATATTAAACAAAGAAAGGTCCTTCCCTGTTCATTGTTTAAACAGTCATGTATGGTGAAGGTCTAATTTAGTATTGACCACAGCTGCATTTTATTTAATTTTTTTGCAGAAAAGTAAAGATTTCAGACAAATGATGCATTTCATTGATGACAAGATAATGTTACTAATATAATATATATTTTACCTGTACGATAGATTTATTGTTCTGGCTAAAGTTTTACAAGGCCTGTGCTTGGTTATCTAAACGTTAGCTTGCTAGCTTGAGAGGCACACGCAGTGAGGAAATGAAGTATTTGAACACCCTGCGACTTTGCAAGTTCTCCCACTTAGAAATCATGGAGGGGTCTGAAATTTTCATCTTAGGTGCATGTCCACTGTGAGAGACATAATCTATAAAAAAAATTTAAAAATCTGGAAACCATGATGTATGATTTTTTTAAATAATTTATTTGTGTGACACATAATGGGGCCAATTATTACTGATACGATATGTCCCCAAATGCCTATATCAGTCCTACCGATTGCTGCGGACTTTCAGGTCTTATCTCGGACCCTCGGCCCACCTCCAGCTCCGCAACACGATATACTGGTCAGGTTCTAGTGTCTTTGACATTTAAATCCCCATAAGTTTAAGGGAAAAAAAATGCCAGTACACAAAAAAGTATCTCCTGATTCATGCTCAATAATCCAGGTAGATAAATCTAACAAGGTTATGTCAGGTCCTCTGGATGCTTGTTGAAATGTTTCATCTTTCATCCAAAAGACTTCTTCAGTCACCTTCTCATAATGGATCAACCAGTTTGCTGCTGATAGCCAAGAGTTGTTGTTTACATGCAAAAGGAGGACCATCAGCCTAACAATAGACTATATGCCACGGACTTCCGTTCTAGCACTTCCGCATTTTTCAGAAGGGCTGCGCACTTCCTGTTTGCTGTCAACACAGTGTTAGTGATGGCGTTTTTCACTCGATCACTGCAGGACTTGCCAACAATATCTGTTAATGATGTCTACAGAATTATTCAGACTTTCTCGAAAGCGCCCACATCTAAAAAGGACAAAGGATTCAAGCTTTATGTGTCCAACTACATAAATAAGTACGAAGGTAAGTCGGTATTTTTTTTTTTCAGTTCACCGAACTGCCTCATGCAGGCTACATATAACACAGCTAACGTAGCTAACCTTGCTATATTGTTGAGTAAACGTGTGTTGTCTGTACAATTTTTCTGATTAACCCAAATATTAGTTTCAAACAAGGAGGCAGGAGAAGTAACAGTTAGGGCTGAGTGTTTCCAGTCAATGAGGAAAAGCCAGAAGCCCCACTGTTTGAGTGTAAGTCAAAACCACCCGACATGTTCTCTACAGGGCTGTGTTTTAAGAAGCTAGTAGGACTTTGATAATTACGGTTGTCTTTTTATAATAGCATTTACAGTTGGTACATTTTGGTCTCTGAAATATTTGGTATTGTACACAGATGGTGCTGAGGGAATCAAAGCCGGTGGAGTTTCAGGGATGTCAGTGCACCTGTGTGGCAGGTACAGTCCTGTGCAGCCATGTGGCAGCTCTGCTTTTCCAGACGGCTCACTACTCCCAGTTGAAGCTTCCAGCTGTTCCTCCAGTCCTAAGCTGCACAGACACCGAACAAAAGTGGCATAAACCGAGGACAATGGTAACTACATATTGATGACTCTTTATTCCTGCTTATGAATTATAGTTCAATACTGTATTTACATCAATGTTGTTTTTGGATGCAGGGCATAAAACCTGGTCCAGTTAAGGACATGGTCGTCCTGTCAGCAAAACCAAGAGAGAGGAAAATCTTTGAAGGAATTAGGTTTGTTTTAATTTAAAGAACACAGACACATGCACAAACACACACACACACATTTTTAAAATTCATTAAATTTACTATCACAACACATGCACAAGAAGTGCATGTTTTGCTGTTTTATGTGCTTTATACATAAAATGTTATGGTATGGTACTTAAGCTTATGTTGTACTATGCCAGAGATAGGTTAAAAATGCAAATAAGTAATTAATCAAACTTCGTTTTTAAACAAGACAATAACTTTATTGCCTAAAATACAACATAGGCTTTATTTAGTATAAATTTCATCATTTGCCTATTAATGTCTTGTTTATGACAAATTTTTATTTTTCTCAACAGAAGCAACTTGTATAAAGGCACTACCAGCCCTCTGCCACTCATCTCGACCCTAAGGATACAGGATGTGTACCGGGGACTTCCAGCTGAAGAAGCGCCAATGATCACCACAATGGCTGTCTCCAACGATGTCCCTCTTGTTGACTCTTTGTTTGGTCCAGTACAAGAGGGAAGTGTTCTGTCATATCAGCTGCCAGCAAAGGTAGTTCCCAGGACCCGTCCACACCAACACGTCCTTTCTCCCCCACAGCTTCCACTCTACAATTACAGGCTTGAACACTCCAGCTGTGCGTATGTATGTTCAGAACAACAGCAACACCATATGATGTCCCTTGAGACAACGTTAGAGATGTCTCACAAAATTGAGAGCAGCACACGGGAGCAGAGCTTCTGTCCAGAGTGGCACCAACTAAGAAAGTGTCGTGTTACTTCAACAAGGTTTAGGGAGGTCTGTCACACCAGGGGTGACAGCTCTTCTGAAAATCTTGCGAAAAGGCTTCTGAGACCCTGCAGTCAAACTGCTGACATGCGTCGGGGGCTTACCCTAGAGCCAACAGCTATAGAGGAGTATTGCAGGGTAAGGGAAGTAAACCACTACCCATGTGGGTTCTTGATACATCCTGACGCACCATGGATGGGGTCATCACCAGATGGAATTATTTACGATCCTGAGGAGCAACAAGTGTTTGGCCTTTTAGAAATAAAATGCCCAAATGTGACAAGCTATGTGGACTGCTCTTACATAATGATTAGGGATGGTAGGCAGACACTCAAACGTACACACCCATATTACTGGCAAATCCAGGGACAAATGCTAATTTCAGGGTGTGACTGGTGTGACTTTGTCATTTACACAGAAAATGACATGTTTATTGAGAGGGTTCCCCGTGACATGCAAGTACTGCAAACCATAAAACAAAAGGTTGACCATTTCTTTTTTTATTTTTACCTCAGCGCTTGCCTGGCAAATTAAGGTAACATAGTCAAATTTTAACCTTTGCATATATGATTGAAAATACTGTTAATACTTGTGTCATGTTCCTTCCATTTATATTATTTTTAAGCAGTTAGATTTATGTATTTCTCTTTAAGGTCAGATACAATTTATTCTGTTTGAAATTAGCTATTAGGCTGTTATAATCATACCCTCTTTGTGAACTGTGTTTTTCTGTTTCAACGGTTTGCATTCACTAGATGAGTGGCATTTTTTGAAAAAAAATAAAATAAAATAAAATAAATTTTTTCATTTCAGTTTTATTAGTACTGTATTTCAATATCCCACTTGATGGCTTGACTTACATGAAAAATGTTATAAAAGAACTGATTTAATGGAAAAAGTTCAGAGAAATTGAAATATTTATGACAGTGATTTAATTTTATTGTAAGTACAAAAAAACAAAATCAAACATAGATATACAGCATATTTTCTTGCTGTTACTCAGATGTCAGGCTTCTTTGCCCAGGCCTTTACTAGTGGGCCATTTTCATAATTTGTGAGTAGACAAGCAACAGTGAACAGTTGGTTGATTATACCAAAAACACCTAGGGGAATTTCAGAGTCAAGTAACTTGTGCTCTTTGACCCGGCGAATGAGGCGCTCCACATGCACCCTGAGACGTGCTATGTCCTGGGTCTCTCTAACATCCTCAGCAGACATCTGAGACCTGCCAGACAGAAATGCTGGCCTGTAAACTTTGCAGGGAACAATGTCATCAATAAGAAAGCCCCTGTCCACCATAACAGCCATCCCTGGTTTTAACAGCGTGATGAGACCAGATTCACGGGTGATCTGCTTGTCACTGATAGACCCGGCATACAGTCCAGAGATGAATGTCACTGCCCCATGAGGTGCAATCCCAATCAGCCCTTTCAGAGTGCAGTGGGATTTATAAGATGAAAACACCTCACTCTGGAGGAGAGGGGAAGATGGGCACTGACACCTCAGCTCAGTGCAGTCAAGGATGACTGTAGTGTCAGGGTAGTGTTTGAAGTCTGCCGGTAGATGTTTTCGTATATGTTCCTCCGGTATCCAGATCCTAATTGAACCTAAGACTGTAAATAAGAAATTGCTCCATGTTGTGATGATCCTGCTGACAGTGGACTGATGGACACCGTACCGGTCAGCAAGATCACGTTGCTTGGATCCAAGGGCAAGGTAATTTAAAAACATGAAAAACTCATCGATGGGCTGCAAAGTACAAGTTGATGGAGTGGAGTCGAGGGCAGTTCCTCTCTGTCCTTGGCGAACACTGACCATGGATGGCAGAGAGGGCTCAATCATGCCCCAGAAATGCATCAGAAGGTCATATGATGCAAACCTGAAAAAAAAAACATACCATAACAATTAGTGTCCATGTTAAACTACACAGCATACTTAAAAATAAATTCAACCCCAGGCACTGTGCTGTAATACTGTAATTAATTTAGAATATAAATACTTATATGGAAGATTGGTATTAGTTATTTGTCATGTTACATTATTCATAGATGACTTGTTTGAATTGATATTTTGAGTTAATTTTGTTTTAAAGAAGGGGCTGATATGATAAGATTATTTCTTCTGCTACCTTTCATTTTATGTATTTTTTTCATGTGGTTTTGTAAATTGTTTTTTTTGGGCTTTAAGTATGAAATGAACACAAAAAATTAAAATAAATGAAATGTATACATACACACAAATAATATACCTAGGCACATAGACACACACACACACACACATTAAATATAGAGAGAGACAGAGAGAGAGCGAACTTAATTCAAACTGAATTTTTCGCTTTAGCATAGAACTCGTGAAAAGGTTTTCTAAAATAATTTTATACTCTGTGTAACACAAACGCGCGCGCATCCCCCTCCTCACACACACACACCTACCTTGTGAAGAATCTAATGTCCTTGTCGGAGGATGCAAAACGTTGAATGCCGAATCGCTGCCTCAGCGTCAGGCTCTCAACCTGTTCCCGTAGCTGGCGGACTTCCTCCCGGAGATTATTATTTTCCTCCAGCACTGAATCCACAACTGCAGGGTCTGGACTAGCAGCATAATCGTGATCCTTATGGGTGTCTACACTGGCTGTTGTATTATCTTCCTCCTCGCTGTCCTCTGGAGGTGGTCTTTTCCTTCTCTCCCAAACCGCGGGTCTTGGTGGTGGAAGGGAGTAATTATTCCATTCAAACAAAGCAGGTACAGCTCCCTTTTTTAACATCCGTCTTCCCTTTTCGGATACTGGCTCTTGAATGTCCTCAGGTTTGAAATGCCGACTACAAACGCGGGTGTGAACTTTTAAAGCTAAGTTTTCCCTGCGGATAGCCACGGTCCATTGTCGCCTTAACTCCTCAACGGCAGGAAAATGGAAAAAACTAACTACTCTATTGTACCTACTGGTTAGTGGACACAACGGCACACAACAGAACTGACTTGCAGTGCCAGTAGATCGCAGACGCTTTCCGTTTTGAGTCTTTTTCATGGTTACTACTAGTAGCTTATGCTAAAAACAACTGCAGTGGATAGGAGCCGGAAGTGATGGACCCTTCTGAAATTTTAACGGAAGTACGTCACCACTACCCGTGGCATATAGTCTATTGGCCGTTCGTGTCCTGATGGCTGCTTGCTATTCAGAGTAAGAGAGGGAGAGGGGGAAGGAGAAATCCCACACAAGACAGGCCGTGGAGCGATGTGGATATCCTAACTGGGCCTTCCTGAAAGCAGAGAGTAATATTGTGTAAGCTGTTCAGTGCCAGGGCTGTGATCAGTCTTGCATCGGGGAAACTAAACAGCCACTGGCCAAAAGGATGGCCCAGCACAGAAGATCAACATCAGTCCAGCGGTCACTCGATCAGGGATGAAGCTGTTCACATCCTTGATAGAGAGGTTTGAGAGAGGAGTAAAGGAGGCCATCTTTGTGAAGAGAGCCTGTCCATCGTTAAATGGGCGGAGGCCTCTGTGTCCAATTGTCACCTGCTTACAGTGCTGTATCACTCAGTCCTCTGTGAATAGCAAGCAGCCATTAGAGCACTAACGGTCGGTCGTTAGGCCGATGGTCCTCCTTTATCATGTGAACGGCTAGTTTTGAACGTCAGCATCTCGTATTTTATTTTATCAATTGAAATCACTGAAGTTTTATGATTTGGTTAACTGTAATATTCTTTTAGTACTGTATAAAGCTCAGAACTACACACTACCTTCAAACATTCAAACGTATTTTGTAAAAAGGAAAAGTTGCTATAATCTTAAGGGAACAGACATTTTTGTTAAACCACAGTACAGAACCAGTTTAAAGGGGCGGTCTACTTCAATTCTAGGGAATAGTTTGGAAAACGATGTTAAAAAAAAAAAAAAAAGTAAAGTCAATGCCTATATTTAAGAAAATGATCAAGATTAAAATTTTGGAAAGATGCATATAAATACGTAAAATTGTGATGAGTTATTTATTTTGTTATATTACTTATAGATGATTATTGTTTGAATTGATTTTGTTTTAAACAAGGGGCAGATATGATAAGATTTTTTTCTTCTGCTACCTTTCATTTTATGACATGTTTTTTTTTTTTTCATTTGGTTTCTAAACTGTTTTTGTGTTTTAAATATGAAATGAATAAAGATGACAAACAAACAAGCAACAGACTGGTTGATCCACTGAGAAGGTGATTAAAGAGGTCTTTGGATAAAAGATGAAACGTTTCAACAGGAAGAATGGTAAATGGACTGTACTTGTATAGCACCTTTCTATCTTATCAAGACACTCAAAGCTCTTCACACTACAATCTGTGTCCTCATTTATCCATTCATTCTGCACTCTACTAGATCTATACAAAGCTCATTGAACAACTCATTCTAAAGAGAATAATCAGAGCTTTATCACATGCAAACATCGATGGGACACATCGGAGGCAATGAGGGGTTCACTGTCTTGCCCAGGGACACTTGGGCATGTGACTGCTGGTGGATTCGAACCCCTAACTCTTGCACTGGAGGACGACTGCTCTAACCACTCAGCCACAGTCGCCCACAACCATTCCATCCAGAGGACCTGACTTAACCTTGTTAGACTAAAAAGTATTATTTTCCTTATTTGACTAATTTAACAGGTAAGTTGAACTAATTTTCAATAGAAGGAAGCAAAATACTCAAAATTTGCATAAAAGGCAAAATACAAACTTTTATGAACTGTAACATTAGTTGTGCAGTTTAATATTCAGTTTTGCTCTCTCTATATATAGATATAGTTTATATAATGATTTGCCTGGTTAAATAAAAGTTAATAAATACACAATGCACTGTGGAAATGGTTGGGAATAAAACTTTCTTGGAAATGGTGATTTTTGTCATATTTTCAGGAGAATTTTAAAACGTGTTCTATTTCAACATGCATAACATTGCACAAGAGGCCACAGTGCGCTGTGTTTTAAACGAAGTGTCTCGTCTGTCTGTAGGTGGACTGCCTGGTGCTGCAGCTGCATCGTATTGGAGAGCAGCTGGAGAAGGCGAACAGCCAGCGGATGGACGAGCTGTTCTTCCTGCTGCGGGACGGTTTCCTCCTACAGGACGGCCTCGCCTCCATGGCCCGTCTGTTGCTGCTGGAGATCTTAGAGTTTCGAGCCGGAGGCTGGGTGCTCAGCAACACAGCCCACAAGTATTACTACAGTGAAATCGCTGACTGAGCCAGGCACAGAGAGAGGGGGTGCTGAGCCCCGCAGATCATTCCATGATTTTAAAACCAGCAGCTTTATTATAAAAAGCAATGTCTTACAATCTGAGAGCTTTAGGAGGATGGTGGTTCAAAACTGCTAAAAATGACAACTTTGATTTAGCTTTAGGATTTTCTGCATTTGGTCCTGACTGAAGTGGTGGGTGTGAATTGTGCAATAGTTAAAAAGCTATTGACAAGCTTTAGCCACATTTTGTTCAAAAGATTGTTTGTCTTAAAGGTTTCTCAAAGACACTGGAGTTTGTTTGTTTTTTTAAGATCTTTCCTGCATTTGATTTTATTCTGAAACATTTCTTTGGAAGTTTAACAAATTATAAAGTCGGGAGAAACGTTCCAGTCAGATGTTGCTTTAAGTTTTATTATTTTTAATGGAATTTATCGTTGAGGATGAATTTTTTTTTTTAATTTTTTATTCTTGGATTTGTATTTTTCAAATATAGCTAATGGATGTTCTGATGTAGAAGTGAAACTATAAAAAGATTTTAGTTGAAGTTTAACATAATTATTATTATTTTTTTACATTTTTGTGAGGCTGACTTGTAACTTACCATTTTAATGCAGAGGATTTTTTTTTTAAATTTGTTAAAACTTAAAGACCAAACAAAATGTTTAAGACTTGTTTTTACAGAGTTATTTTTTTTAATCACCTGTTTGGTAGCACCAACATAACGTGAACATTATTTCAATCAGGGAACTCCTAAAAGGATTTGACGTAGGTTTATAGAGCAGTTCAGCTTTTTTTAAATGCATTGTCTCAGATAACTTTAGGTTTCATCAGCATTGCCAACCATCGATCAATTGGCAAATAAATTATGGTCAGTCCTGTTGAGTACGTTCTTGTGATTGGCCTGTAGGATGCAGGTTTGTTTCTGCTAAGCCTCGTGTTGGAACCCTCGACTGGTTGACTGAAAAATAACTTCAGGTTTTGAATTTTGCAATTCATGTAGCTCGTACTTTCCTGCTGTATGTTCAAATATGCATTTTAATACATTTAGTTTGGTTATTTTGGGCTTGCAAGATGTCGGGTTGTGTGTGTAGGCGGGACTCATCACAAAGTTACTGCTGGTCTTTGGTGCAGGCTACACGATGCGGCAGCACATATAAACCAAACATTTTGGCTTTTGGAGAAAAATGTAGGTCAAGAGTCACAATTTCCCTTTTTTACCCCAAGATTCAGAACAAATGTGCTTAAACCTTTAATTGTGAGGAAGATTCTAAATTTCAAATGCTACAAATATACTCAACTGGTCAAATTCCAGTATTGAAGGTAAAATAAAAGGTTTACTTTATAAAGGACTTAATTTGTTTAGATATTAAATGGTCCAAATATTGAGAGGGTAAATATGACATTTTCTGTACATATTTTGTACTTTCGCTTTACTCTATTCCAGTTTTCTACAATTAAATTGTTCAATAAATGCATTTGTTTTAAAAAATTATTTTTGTTTGTGTTGTTGACTGCCTATATTTATTGTAATAATTAAACACACACAGAGGATTATTGTACTCAGTACAACTTCTTTAATACTAAAACAGAACTGTACTTTGAATTCTTGTACATTTGACTTTTAAGCACATATCTCCCCTTCCACAGTGAGTTTTGTGTTTATTTACAGTTATTTGAGCAGAGATACCTCCCAACATTTCTGACAATCTGCAGACGTATGAATACACAGCATTTCAGTCCCAAAATGTTTCGTCTACCACCAGCGGAAGTGGGCGTACGCTCTGTTCGATTCAGCCACCTTGTGCATCTCGTGCTTCTTCCTCATGACGTTGCCCTCATTTTCAAAGGCAGTCATCAGTTCCTGCGCAAGTTTTTCGTACATGAACGTGCGTCTGTGTTTGTTTTCTCTGCATTCTGTGATCATCCATTTCATTGCAAGGAAGCGACGTCTGCTGTCTGTAAGTGGGATGGGCACCTTGTTGGGATTGGAGACAGATAATATAATTACTCATCTAAATATTTGCTTTGCGGCTACAATATGTATAATTTTTTTTCTGTAGGTTAAACCCCAAAAAATGAAATTCACCCCATTTTCATGCACAGTTATTTAAAGACTCATAAAACTATTTGTCCTGTAATGTCACAGAAGAGCTCGAGTTGCTCATTACTGACCTGGTAGATCCTTGCACCTTTCTTTACTCTGGTCAGCCCAACAACAGGCTTACAGTTCTCCAAAGCCTGGTGAAAAATCTTGTAGGGATTACACTCAATCTCTGCTTTTTCTCCCTCTGAAGCTTTGTGATATTTCTCCACTTGTTTCCTCTTCATGTGCTCCAGTGTCTAAAAGGAATTATGTTCATTATTACTTACAAATGAACATTAAGGCTCTGAGCAGTATTCAAGATCTGAGTGATGTGTTCCTTTACCTGTGTCATAATCTCTCTAGCCAAAACCTTGTTTCCATGTTTCATCATCATGTTGATGAATTTACTGAAAAAAAAAAAAAAATGACTGCAGTTCCTGAACTTTAAACAGAACTTTGAAACAAGCGAGACATTTTTGCTTTTAGTGGCAAAGCTGTCTTTAAATACCTGACATCTGGGTCATCAAAAACAGAGCTGGTTACTGCATTGGTTGCTGCTTTGATGGGTTGTGTCATCTTGAGCTCACGCTCCTTTTTCTCCTCAGCGCTCAGCTCAATTATTGGTTGGCTGTAAGCCTCCTTCCTGACCTCTGGCTCTAGATAGTAAGGATTGTATTTGCTCCATCTCACCAACACCACACTGCAGACAAAGTACACAGATATATTTTGAATTTCAGTGGGTTCAAAGCTTTGTTCTGTTTTATGTCAGAGACCAAGCCTTTATAAAATAAATAAATGAAACAGTACATAAAAGGTTTCTGTTATTAGTTTATTTAAATCGGAAAACATACAGGCGGAAAAAAGACATGTTTTAAAGACCATACCCTAACATTTTCACCGTGTTCAAAAAAAACAAATTTTGGGAAGTTCAAATGTGAATAACTTCTGAAACATTTGTGTTCGCATAAAATGATCACAAATGCAAGCACCTTTATTAGAATAAAACTTTAGCTTTAGGCCAATTTAAGAAAAAAATGTTATTAAAAATTATTAAAAATTAATTAAAATAATTAAAAAATATTAAAAATTGTTTATTGTTGTTGCTGTTGTCCATTGTTGTCATCTTTCTTTGTTGAAATCAGGTCTCTTGTAAATGAGTCCTCGAGGCTCAATGGGATTTACCTGTCTAAATAAAGGTTGAATGAAAAAAAATGTTTGAAGTCAGATTCGTACCTAGTTGTTGAGGAAAATAAGAAAAAAATCAGATGGAATGCAAAACACAGTTTATGCGTGACAATATGAATACGAATATTCATAGTTTAACGTACAGATATTCTTAGGAGATTGGCGAAGATGTAATTTTATCATTAGCAATACTTGTTCACTTTTTATAAAGCAACGCGAGTTAATTTTAAAAATTGGAACCACATAACTGTTAAAAAAAGCAGACTATATTAAATAACATTTACAAAGAAACACTAGCTACAGACGTGTATAAAGGTTAAAATTACCTCGGTGTCCAAGGTTTTAGCAATCCTGCGATGGAGGCAGCCATCTTGGAAATGTGTCAGTTAGGACCCCAGTTTAGTATGTAGTGGAGATGCACGACAAAAAAAAAAAAAAACGTTTCAAAAGTCACCCACTCGTTTGGCTAATTTCACAGTTCATAACGAAACAAGATGTGTGAGTAGGTTTTAAGTAGTAAATATATCGTGTTTTATGTAAATAAATAAATAAATAAACGTGTCCTCGTGCACACGCTGATGACATCACACAATGTTTTCAGCACCGACCGCTGTAATGGTATGGCGTACCACGCTGAGGAGGACACGCTGGAGTCATGGTTCGGTGAGTAATTGATGCTATTTCATGAATAAACAACATGTATATTTAACCGGATAGATTCCGTCGTTTGAGTGAGCGCGCCGACAGTCGCTATCCAGCTGTTTGACAGCTGTAATCCGGGCTGCGCATCAGCTACGGGCTGGGTGGAGGAGAGCAGAGATGCTCTGAATCAGGGGCTCATCTGCGGCTTTCAGGGACAGGCTGGTGTGTGGGGAAAATGAAAGAATGTAAAAAGGTCGAATGAGTCATAGCGAGTCATACAGAGCAGAATTATAAGGACATAAACTTACAGGTAAATTTGAGCAGTAGAACTAAAGTATTTTATGTATGTAGTTTAGTGATTCTTATTTCCTCACTCCTTTTGATTTAAACCTACGTCTCAAAAGAAAATTTAACTTTGTTATAGAAGAGATGTACAAGATATAAAACGTGAGTTATTTGATATTAATAGAATAATTGCAGTAAGCAAGGATGTTTTTTGGTTTGTTGTGTTTTTATTAAATTTTTCGTTTTCCTTTGCAAACGTGCATCTGAAAGCTGCTTATAATAATGTATTAATATCAAAACGTAAATAAATTCTGAGCATTTTTAACTTTGCTTGAATGCCTTTGCTAAACTACTGTATTGTAATGTCTTTTAACATAATTATCAAACACCTAACACTCTTTGACATTTGATTTATTCAAACATTACTAAAAATGAAACTGAAGGGAATACAAATTTGCGCTATTATTTATACAGTCAATAAACTTCCCAGTTCATTAACGTTCTTGAGTGTCACATTAAAACACTTCGATTTAATGCATCTTGTAATGTCTCACAGCTGTATTATTTGTTCAGAATCATTTTTGATCTGATTTTATACCATATTGCACATCTCACCATTAATTATCACAACAATCAGTTTTATTAATAATACATTATGTATTTGTAATGAATCAACTGCTCATATAAAGATGAATATAAGCCGAGTGACTTGTATATTTTCTAATTATTTAACTTGAACTCATTCCATGATGCTTTTGGACATTTAATAATGGATGAGTCGTTTTTATAATAATTTACATGATTTTATGAGTTCTGCAAAACATAATTAGTGGAAATACATTTTATTGACAGAAAAAGCCACCCATCGAACAAACAGAGAGGAGGACTGGGAATATATAATTGGCTTCTGTGATCGAGTCAACAAGGAACCAGAAGGGTATGTCTGATGTGAAATATTAAAATAAACTTATAGCTTATGATGAATAAACCAAGTTTTCTTCCTGTAGTCCTGAGAAAGCCAAACATCTACTTTTGACCAAAATCGCCTGTTCTCAAGAATGGGAGGCGCTTCAGGCTCTGACGGTAAGAAACAGTTGTGAAGAAGTTCTTTTTTCTTTCTTTCTCTTTAAACTGACTGAACCCCTCGTTCACATAAATCTCTCTTGTTCAGGTACTGGAGGCGTGTATGAAGAACTGCGGGAGACGGTTTCAAAAGGAAGTCACGAGAAATCATTTTTTAACAAACCTGTTTCGAATCGTTTGGACAGAGGTGAGCTGTCTTCGGGAGACTCAAGACTTTCTAAAGTTAAAAAAGGAAACCGAAGTGACCACGTATTTTACTTCCAACAATCTTTAAATTGCAGTACCTCGGAGACAGAACACCTCCAAAGGTGACGAAAAGGATTGTAGAGCTGGTGTGTAGCTGGACGGCTGCTTTTCCCAACGAAAAGGAGTTTATTAAGACCTTCAAGGCTTTGAAGAGCATAGGTATCTACAAAGCGGTATTATAAACTTGTTTAGCGTAACAGTGTCTCCTTTAGAGGAAACTTACAGATTCACTCTCCTCACCAGGCCTTGTGACGCCTGACATGGTGCTTACAGTGGACAGGACTCTGATTCTCTCATCTCCAACGCACTCTAAACACCCCATGTTTGACAACAAAGACATAAACACAGTGAGGCATTGGAGGAAAATATCATACCGGGTAGTTCTGTTTTCTTAAAGTATCCGGACTAATATCTAACTTTTTGTTTGTAACTGTAGCTGCTCGCTGAGCTTCTCCGGAGTAAAAACCCAGAAGATCTTCGGGAAGCCAACAGATTAATCAAGAGCATGGTGAAAGAGGTGTGGGACGTCGGTGTCGTCTGTGCTGCTGGAGCAGCTCGGTTTTCTGACGTGAGCGGTGTTTTGTTGTGGTCAGGACGAGGCTCGCGCGCAGAAGGTCACAGAACGAGTGCAGACTTTGGAGGAGGTGAACAACAACGTCAAGCTGCTGACCGAGATGCTGTCGCATTACGATAAGGACGCTTCCACTGACTCCGATAAGGAGATTCTTAAGGTCTGTGTCCAACAATATAAACATGTCTATAAAAACACTGGGAAACTTTTGCTACGATCCATTTAAATATTTTTCACAAGAATACCAGAAACTTCTTTATGCGTTCATTGTTTCTCGTTTCAGGAGCTCTACAAGCGCTGTGAAAAACTGAGAAGTGCTGCTTTCAAGATGGCCTCTGAGTCAGAGGACGATGACCTTACTTTAGGTTGTCTGAAAATTGTTTTTATATCTGCATCTGTTGTCAAAATATCTCATGTCAGATTTTAATTAAACACAGAAAATGATTTACTTTTAGGCACCGCCAGATTCAAGATGGCTACCACTGCTAACAGACTTTAATAAATGTTTAAAAAAATGGCTGCAACCCGGTCAGTTTAACAGATATTGAGCTGAAGTTTGGTGTGGTAGTAGCTGAGAGTCATTCACAACACATACTACAAGCACTAACAGATCGCACAAGATCTTTGTTTAAATTTTTGGCAGGCAAGGCATCAGGAGATATACATCCTTTCACGGGATGCTAGTTTTATTTGAAGGTTTCCCTTGTTTTTCATGGTGGTGTGTGTAATCGCAGGCGACATCCTCCAGGCCACTGACGATCTCTCCAGAGTCATTAACGCGTTTAAGAAGATCGCTGGGGGGGAGCAGGTTGACAGCAGCAGAGAAGAACCTCATCCTGCAGGTGGTCAGAGTGACACTTTATATTGTTTGTTTTTTAAATCCTTTAACTTGAAGCAACTTTTTTGCTGAACCTTATCCTTTCATCTGCCATTCAGCAGTGACCACAGATACACTGGTTGACATCAGCTGCCTCAATACCCCCACCCTTCTTGAACCTGCGCCCCCTCCTTCCCAGTACTCACCACCCATTTTTGCCAGCGACACAACATCCCCTATCCCCATCCTGCCGCCTCCTCCCAGCATCTTCGGCGTGGGCAGCCATCTTAGACGACGTAGAAGAACATGTCACCTCTCCCTAGACTCTTCCCCCCCCTCTCTTTCTGTACTTGATGATGAGCTGCTGTCTCTGAGTAAAGTATTCTAATTTTAGATGATTAAGTTGAAGGAATGGACCGGCTTCTGTTGGAAATTCACTTATTCTTTCAAATGAGTTACGTTACCAATTCCTTCAGAGCGCTCAAAAAACAAGGTTTTGCTGCAACAACTGGTTGCTTGGCCACTGCCTCCTGAACTTTGTCCAGAGTTCAAATATGGCCTCCTCTTCCTCCTCCCCATCACAAGTTGGAGCTTAATGGTTAATGAGAGTGGTGCGAGCATTTTGTCAGCTAGAAAAATACTTTTCTTCAAACATTCTCGAGTATCTTCAGGTCTGAATCTAAACATTTAGAATGTCAAACTGTAATTTTGAGTCCGAGGTCTCTAATGTTTCTGCAAAATGTGGATTTGTGTCGCATTATATTCCTCAACATGCTCTTTAAGATGCTAAACTGTAACTTTGAATCAAAATCTTTAAAACATTTCTTAAACTGCTGAACCCTAAATTTAAATGGTTTCCAAAAGTTCTTTTTTTTTTAATAAATGCTACAACCTTAGGAAAAATCATCAAACCTTAACATCAAACTGTGGTTTAAAATCACATTTCTTAAGAATTTAAACAGTTTATTAAATCATAATTACTAAATGTGTTTAAAAAATGTGTTACATTGACTTTAAATCAGATTTTTCAAATAGTTTGTTAAAATTAAAGATGGATTTCATAAAATGTTTAAAATGAAATTAATAAAACTATTAAAAACGTTTATCTAAACATTTAATTTTAGCTTCATTTTTTTCTAAATATTTCTTAAAGCACTAAGCTGTAGAATTAAATCAGATTTTTTTGTTTGTTTTTGGTGAGGAAATATAGTAAAATATTACTTTTTTAAAGTCTGTTTAAATTGAATTTTACTTTTTCTTTGTAAAAGTTCCTCAAAGGTTTATTTTACAAACATTAAACTTTACAATAGTTATATTTCTTAAATACTGAATAGTACCTTTATATCAGATTTTTTTATATAATTCTTTTGTAAAATGTAGAATTTGGTTTTACTATAACTCCTCAGTACACTTCTTAAAATGTTAAAGTTTTAAATAAAATCTTCAGTGAAACATAAAACTTGGCTGTAAGTATAAATGTTCAATTTATCGCTTGATAGTTTAGTTTCCCAAAGCAACGTATAAAATGTGGAACTGGTACGTGACATTTTTGTTAAATGATGTTTTCAACGTTCAGTTGTAGCTTACCATCAAAATTTCCCAAACAGTTTTTAAACATTAAACTACAGTAGACCTAAAAATAAATAAATAAATAAACATTTAAACACTGAAAACTGAACTACAACCCCAATACATATAGTTGGGACATTTTGGAAAATGTAAATAAAAGCAAAATGCAGTGGTTGGCCAACCTTACACAGTAAACATAAAACTTTATTTTTCTCACCACTTGTACATTTTATCTTGTTCAGTTTCTTTTTTTTTTGCAATGTGTTACAATAAATTAAAAAACACTTTCTCTATTTGTATTTAGAAACATTTTGCTGTATCTTTAAATCCATTTTGTTATATATAAATGGTGCTATGCTAATGCTATGATTTTTTTTATTGGTTTTTTTTTCAGACCTGAATAATAACTCTACCTCCAAAGAAAAAGACGCGCAAACAAAACCCATGTTGAAAGAAATCTCCAGGCCGTGGACGTCACTGCAGGTTTATTTAATACAGTTACCTACAAAGTTTTGAATAGTGTGTAATGGGTGGGGGGGAGTAAATTGTCTGATTTCTTCAGGCCCCAGCGTCAAGTGTGGATGTGTTTGGCCGTGTAGCTTGTTCGAGGACAGCAGTGGCTCCACCTGAAGCTGCTGCCTCACACAGTTTGCAGAGCCTCCAGGATCTGGCAATGATGGACTTTTCACATCTCAAGAAGTACGGAGACTCCATCATTCCTATGATTTTTTCCATCCATCCATCCATCCATTACCTTTACCCGCTTCTTCCTTTTCTGGACGCCGGGGGTCACTGGTATCCAGCAGTCACTGAGTGAGAGGCGAGGGACACCATGGACAGGTCGCAAGTCCATCACAGGGACACATAGAGCTAACATGCATGTTTTTGGTCTGTGGGAGGAAGCTGTAGTACTGGTACCGACTGGTACAGGACATGTATGAGGACAGCAGGACAGTGGTGAGATGTGCTGAAGAAGTGACAGATAGCTTCAATGTGGAGGTGGGAGTGCATCAAGGATCAGCTCTGAGCCCCTTCTTGTTTTCTCTGGTGATGGACCAACTAACAGATGAGGTCAGACAGGTCAGTCCCCGTGGACTATGATGTTTTCAGATGATGTGATCTGTGGTGAGAACACGGAACAGGTGGAAGAGAACTTGGAGAGGTGGAAGTATACACTTGAAAGACGAGGAATGAAAGTCATTCGTAGTAAGACAAAGAACGTGTGTGCGAATGAGAGGGAGGCTGGTGGAACAGTGAGGCTACAAGGAGCAGAGGTCACAAAGGTGCAGGACTTCAAGTACTTGGGGTCAAAATGGGGAGTGTAGTAAAGAAGTGACAAAGAGAATCCAGGCAGGATGGAGTAAAGTTTCAGGAGTGATTTGTGACAAAAGAGTGTCAGCAAACGTCAAAGGAAAAGTTACAAGACAGTAGTGAGATCAGTTATGTTGTATGGTCTGGAGACAGAAACACTGACAAAAAGACAGGAGACAGAACTGGAAGTGGCAGAAATGACGATGTTGAGGTTCTCCTCAGGAGTGACAAGGATGGATAAGATTAGGAATGAGATGATCACAGGTACAGCACAGGCTGAACAACTGGGAGATAAAGTTAGAGAGGCCAGACTGAGATGATTTGGACATGTCCAGAGGAGGGACAGTGAGTATATTGGTAGAAGGATGTTAGAAATGCAGCAGCCAGGAAAAAGACAAAGAGGAGATTTATAGATGCAGTTAGAGAGGACATGGAGGTGGAGTGAGGACAGAGTGAGATGGAGGAGGATGGTTTGCTGTGGAGACCCCTGAAGACAGAAAAGCCAAAAGAAAAAGAAGAAGGAGGAAACCGGAGTACCCAGAGAAAACCCACGCATGCGCGGAGAGAACATGCAAACTCCACCCTGAAACATCCCCGGCCAGGATTTGATCCGGCGGCCTTCTCGCTGAGAGGCAACAGCTCTACCAGCTGAACCACCTAAAAATCATTTGTAGACATTTTGATAGAAATATGTTTGTTTAAATGAGGACTGTAAGGTTGTTTTGGGTGTGTGTTTTAGATCGAAGCCCAGCCAATCAGGAGCCACAGGAAGCAGCTTTGGGTTAACAGCAGCAGCACCTCCCCTCATACCTGGGGAGGGTGCCCCTCCCTGTGCTGTTCTTCACTCAGCAACGCCCGGCTCTCCTGCTCTGTCCCATTCAAAGGCCATGGTACCGGGGAGCCCACAGTTCTGTTCTCTGTCCCCTGGTCCTCTGTATATCCACGGCAGCCCGTCCAGAGGCACAGACATCTCCCTCAGCAACGTTCACGTCGCTCCAGAGGCGATCAAACCCAGTGAGAACATCCGAGAGAGAGAGAGATGGACTTAATAAAATATAAAGAGCATCATTTTATTACAGACTCACTCCTGATTTTGTGTTTGACTTTTTTCTGTCCTGATTTGATCTCAGGTAAAATCTTGCCGGTGACGGCCTACGATAAGGATGGCGTTCGAGTCCTGGTTAACTTTGCGTCTGACTGTCCTCCGGGGAGGCCTGACGTCTTGGTCATGGTGGTGACCACGGTCAACACAGCGCCCGTGCATGTTCACAACATGGTCCTGCATGCTGCTGTCCCCAAGGTAAACACTTTCAGACGAGCCAAGTTTTAAATATAAAAACAAATTGATAATGCTGACCTTTCCTCGTATCTTCCACCAGTCAATGAAGGTAAAGCTGCAGCCTCCATCAGGAACAGAACTGGCACCGTTCAACCCCCTGCTACCTCCAGCGTCAATTACTCAAATCCTGCTGCTGGCCAATCCAGCGAAGGTAAAGACCCGACGGCACAGAACAGAAATCTGAATGCAGGAGGGGCTCTTAATCAAAGGCTTGTCTGTCCTCGCAGGAAAAGGTGCGTTTGCGCTACAAGTTGACTTTCACACAGGGAGAGCGTCTGCGCGACGAGGCTGGGGAGGTGGACCAGTTCCCCCTCCCAGAGAAGTGGGGTCATCTGTAGCTAGAGAAAAGGCCTGTTCTTACTCTGTAGACAAGGTCATCCCAGAGGAAACAGGAGGGGTCGGAAATCCAGCTTTACAATCCACGTTCATTTCGTTGTGTCCTTAACGTCACTGAATAAGTTAGAAAATGTACTTTGAAACATTTTCACTTAGTCCTTGTGCTTTATATATATATATATATATATATATATATATATATATATATATATATATATATATATATAGATAGATATGTATAGGCAGCAAACAAAGCAAAGGTATTACACAGTGGTCAGTCAGTCTGTGGTGCCTGCTGGTTATTCAAGTAAATATTTTACTGGATTTTTCCTGTGATGAATCTTAACAGATTTAGAATGTATTTTTAAAAAATCAAAGCATTGCATCAGAGCGCTGGACTGAAGTGCTGCATCGTAGCAGAACAAACATGGCCCAATAATTTAACATCAAATGTATTTAAGAGCCAGCAGGTTATTTATTTATTGGGTTGAACATCTTTGCAGTCTACTAACGAATACTTGAAAATATCCTGATGTGAATGTACATCAGTTCTGTCTTACTTTGGAAAGAACCACCGGTTTGAATGTTTCACATGTCGGGGTTTGTGTCTGACTTGTGTCAAACTGTGCTGCTGAGTTCTGCTCCATCAGTTGTGCCATCAGGTAGCCTCTCACTGCAGGTGAGCTGCCGTGTCTCGACTTCAAGGAATGTTTGAAATTATGTATTTATCTTTTTCTTTTATGTAAATGAGCAGTGATTTGTCAAGACAACCAGCCTTTCCTCTACATTTTAGCTTTTATTTCAGTATTAAAACATCTCTATTACAGTATCAGCATGCAGCACGGTCATGTTGTTGTTTAGGACTTAAAGTGATAGCTCAGACTTTTGAAGTGGGGGTTGAGAAAAATATGAACAAATGGCCTCGCTCTGATTAGCCGTTAGCTCACCAGTCAGATCAGAAATGACCAGTCATCCCCCGCTATATTGCGGGGATGACTTGCGGCTTCACTGCATCTCGTTTTTTATGCCTGTTTTTATATATATTTATATATATATATATATATATATTTATATATATATATATATATATATAGA